CACATTTTTGGTGATTTTTGTATGAAAAGTGTACCAAACGATTTCACATTTTTTTGAATGATAACAATACTTTACTGCACACAGTGGGTGTGCATAAAAGTAAAATACAGAAGACAGCGAGAGTAGTAGAGATACATATACATATTCAAGTTCGAAACAAATACCAAATGTCTTTGACATTATTCGCAATAAATTGGTTTTATGTCCGTTGAACCATTTGGAAATTTTGGGTCAATCATGGTTGTGACACGCCTTTTTCGCATCAAAAAAAGAAAAACCACATTCACATCTAAATGCTGTGCAATTTAAGCGTTTGCTGCGTACGAATTTTTGCTGACTCAATTGATTCGTTTACTTGTTCAGTTGTCTTCGACAAAAAAAAAGTTTATTGATCCTTGCAATCAAAATACCAACATACTATACTCACTAACTCTCTGTCCCTCTTTTTTAATTGTATCATGTTGTGATAGCGGTGTTTGAACGATGACAATTTCATTTTTTTTTTTTTTTGACTTCTTGGTTCATTCAATGGTGAAAAAAGGGAGACCATTAACATTCTGAGATTTTGTGGGAATAGATAAAAATATGAAAAAGATTGATTGTGTCATTTGTATAAAACTGAAACACAAAGATGTTTGATACACCATCGCATATCGCACCGAACAAAGTCGCATGAGTGCTTATCCACAACGAAATGCGTAGAAAAACTATTATTTTGTTTTTATTTTTAACATCGCCCATAAATTCATGCAATAATTTAATCTATGCAGCTCCTCGCAATGAAGCAATTTCGTTCTGTGTCCTTTGTGGGTGTAACCAATCTGTGTTTTTTTTTTCGCTGAGCGCCAAAAAACCAAATACACTTAATGGAATTTATAAGTTCTCAGCATGTTATCCGATTGCTTTTCATGATGATGTGGACAAAGAAACCGCAACAATATACCACTTCAAGAGAGAAAGAGCAAACCAGCAACCGAATGTTGCAAATCGATTGGTGAATTACGACCGACCCTTGGTTATTATTGTTACGGCATCTCTGAAAGGCGGTTTTTTATTACTTACCAGTGAGTTTGGATCTACAGGACGGCGATGATGGTGATGTTTCTGCTATTGCTGCTTGTCTGTTATTGTTGTTGTTTTTTTTATTTTGTTGATTCTCCTCGTTCGAATAATTCGATTTGTTCTCTCGCATAAATGTTTGCGGTTCACGTGTCGGAAGCACATAAAATCATTTACTTATCGCAATCGCTGTGAAATTTTCATAACTATAATCGTTTAATTTATTTATATGTTTTGTTCATGTGAATGGAGAGAAAAAAGAAGAAGGCGAGCATGCACAAATTTGAAATGATATCAAGATGAAATTGGTTGTTTCTTGTTAAAATTCATATTTTGTTCACATCACGCATGCAATAACATTCAATTCAACAACATTGATACATGAATGCAGTACATTTGCATTCAATTATCAATGCAAAATTGTCAAAAAAAAAAATATGTTTCCAACGAAAATTTGTACAGAGAGTTGTGATTGATTTGTCCGACGGGATATTACGAAAAAAACGTGTTTTTTTTCTCCATAGATTCATGGAAATTGATGCGGCATTTGATACATCATTTCGATCAACATATGTCATAACAAATTGTTTTTTGATCAATCAGTCACCAAAAAAAAAAGAATTCGAACGAAAAACAAACACCAAATTCTTTAGTACATCATAGTGTACTCACTGGAGAGTGTTCGGCTTCTTTGTGCGTAAAAATGAGCTACCAACAGGGCTACGTGTTGACAACATTAAATACATACAACGCATACGGTTGGGCGTACGAGCCAAGTAATCACAATGAGCTCATCAGAGAGCAAGAGACACACACACACGCAACGCAATATCTGAAGAGAATATTATAAATATTTATGATGATTGATCGGCAGACGGCAGCGTCAATAATATGACAGTTCGTGATTTAATTATCAATTATGTTGCATATACAACACAAAAGCGCACTCTTGATCGCACTCAAGATACAAAAATCGACAACATGTTCGACAACCAAATCGAATGCCAAACACACGCTGATTAGAATTTGTTGGCACAAAATTACGCATACAAAACGACCAATTTACACTGAAAAATTAAAGTGGTCGCTCATTTTTTTCTCTCTCTCCAATTCTCTCATCAACTATATCGAATAATTTTGAAATTCCACACGAAAAAAAAGAGCGGCAACAAAATAATAATTCTGAGTAGATTTCTTAATTGGAATTATGTGTTTGGCTGCAGTTTTCCTGTGTCGGCACCATTTATTTTTCTTACAAGTACAAACACCAACCGATCGGTTTATGGTAACTCAATTAAAATTAATTGAAATTTTAACATGAAATGCGTGGACAGAATTCGTTTTCTATAGAAATATTAGCGCAACGCCACAATATTCCATTGACCGATTGAATCAATCTGAAACACTTTGAACATGAATGAAATGCCGATTTCTTTTATTTTCGGAATAAAATTGTTGCGTGCTCAATACCCAACTGTGCATTTTAATTTACTTGGAAGTGATCTCTTGACAATGATATGATCGGTTTTTCATAAGGAACAGATATTTCAGCTTCCTATGAACCTCGAACTGTTCAATTCGTTCTGACCACTTTCGTTCGTTGTTATTATCGTCAATTTCAACAATTTTCTCAAATCTTCACGTCGATACATCGATTTATATGTTGGTTTATTGGCGTATAAGAGGAACGAATGTTGAAAAGTAGTTAGTAATTTTGTGTGTCGTTGTTTCTATGGGAGAGAAAAAAAAGTGGTCCGAAACGAATGAAAGCAATTTCATGGTTTTCGATGGCATGAAATGGCGATTTATTGGTCCTTTTGTACTTGAAACAACATCCACTTACGACTTTTCCAAACCAAATCAGATCAACAACAGAAATAAACCAACATCCAACCAATTGAACCATGTGTATGTGACAATCGTACGCTTTTTTTCAATGAACACGTTTTGCGATATGCGATTCAAACAAAAGCAAATTGTTTCGACTTTTTGGTTGTCGCAAAGAAAACTCACACACATTCATTTTTCAAGCACGCAAATACATTGCGCGTTTGTTTTTTTTTTCTTCTTTTATTGTATTCATTCATGTGATTAACAACAGATTGACAGACACATATCCAGGTGTCTCACGCCTCTGTTTTGCACCCTAGTTGCAAACAATTATTATTCGTTTATTTAATCGCACCGAGAATTTGTCATAAAGTTATTAATATTGTTTTGTTTTGTTCTGACTTTAAATGCACAATCGTTTTTTTTTTTTTTGGTTTCTCATTTCATCTATACCTTTTGGGTTGCTTCTTTGCCATTCATGTGTCAAATTGCAACATTTGTGTATGTGTATTGAGTCTGTATAAAATTTTCAGAAAAACGCCTCTTTCACATAAAAACTTGAATAGCACTGTAAATTATGAAATGGATACAAAGCGAATGAGCGAGAGAAAGGGAGAGAGGAATAGTGTGTGTATGAGTGAAAAAGGCATGTTATTGCCATTATGCTGTGGCATCCCTTAGAATTTATTAAATGTTACACACGTCAATTGGATGCGTGAATGAGAATTACCAATGTAAATTGGGGTATTATTTATTTATGATTTTTTTTTCTCTTCTCGTTTGTTCAGTATATTCAATAGAGAAATGGGAAAATGTTCAGTTTGAAATTGCGAAGCGATTTGTCGCAAAACTAAAGTTAATTCGTGCGATTGTGGGATTCTCTTTATGGGCATAAATTACAAGTAAATAAACGAAAAGCAAGCAAATCACCCGGGATTACGCTTTGCCTGTTGTATAGTAAGTACTATTCGGTATGTAGGTATCAATTTTCTTGTAATTATTGTTTATTCGATTATACTGAATTTTTCTCAACTTTTCCCCCTTCGGCACACCAGTGGCTCGACAATAACGGTAGTGTGTGGTGTGCCCGCTCATCGTATCGAATATTATACAGTAGTAAATCGTTAAAATATGCGCGCGACGGACATATGTAAGCGAACAGCAATTTGTTATGTTTCACTGACACGCCTCCAAACATATCAACAAAAGTGTTTTTGTTTGCCATACACTCTCTATTGCAATATTTCTTTCTCTCTCTCTTAAAATGAGCAACCTTTTTATAGTGCATCCGAAAAACCATGTCATAAGGCGCAACAAAAACGATAATGAATTTACGTATATCATGAGCTCGCGCACATATAAACTCACATTCATTGCACAGAACAGTGACATATGTGAAAAATTCTTAAGTGTTCGCAATTCTCTCCTTAAATCATCCGTAATTTCCAAAAATAAATTGTATTTTAATATGCATTGTGTGCACAGAATTATTTTTTGTTTCTGCCACATATCAAATATGAACAAATCGGGCAAACGAGCGAGAGAAAGAAAGGGTAATCGAAAAGCGAACGAAAATAACCGAATAATATTTATAGAGACATTTTTTTTTTGCTTTGTACCATCGATAACTAAAAAAAGTGATCAGAACATATAAATTGCTAGATGTGATATCAAGCCCGAAAATCGTTTTTTCATTTGTTTGTCGCACAATTTCAAGAAGAAGACCGAAAAAAATGTTTTTTGTACTTTTTTAATTTTCTCATGATATGTATCAAAAGATTTGTCTTGAAATCTGAGGATAACTTATTATTAACTCTGAGAACATACGCTTTTGACACAAACATCAAGCATTACTACCCAGTAATCTGGCACTGTATTTGATTAATAAAACATTTGCTCGTTGTTGTCGTTGAATAATGGATTGTTTCAAGGTGATTTCAATGAATTTTGGCAAGGCAATAAAATGAATTAATTTTCTCGCCAATTTACACTATAAATCACCCATTTAAAATCATCGAATAAAAAAAAGATAATAAAAACCAATTTACCATTGCTTGAAGAATAACTTAAAACTGTATATGAAAAACTGAATTTTTGAGGCATTCATCATTTTTTTTTGTATTCTTTATTCTCGCTCCGAATAACTTAAGACAATATTAAATTAGCTTTACTAAATTAAGTACAGTTACAGAACAACACTGAACAAATTGGCATGGATTTGATGGGCAATTGTTTCAAAACGAAAAATTTGCGGTGTTTATAACAAAAAAAAAATTGGTTACACTGCTATGTAAATCACTCTTTGTGATAATCGTATGAAATTGTTTTAATTGGATATAATGGTAGTGCGTTCACTAATTTTGAAAGTGAAAGAAGCGGCATGATTTTTCAGATATCATTTTTTTGAATGAATATAGAAAAAAACCTCTTGTAATAATTAAAGTGATCGTACGACATTTATCCGATATGTTTATGCGATCATCACAATTGAAGAGATAAATTTAGCGAGCAACCAACCATGATACACTGTGGAAAAGAAATTGATGTAATGAAGCGATAACTCTATGGTAAATTGCATCAAAATCCAAATCTGAATTAATCATTTAAAATGTACTTTACTTTATTTGTTACTCTGTAAAGTTGGTCCTATGAGGACGATAGGAATAGTTGATCAGCATCGATCGTTGTGTGTCATCCGATTCATTAACTGAACGACTGATGAAATATCGTTACGCTCGTCATCGATTCTAATCGTCCCCTTGGGAATTTCCACTTTAATAAATTAAATCAAATAATATTTTCTGAGATCCTGCCTAAAAATATGCGGCAGCCAATTGGTCGGTGGTTTATTTCGTCTATTGTTGGATAATTTGGAATGGTTGATATGGTGCGCGCACACATACGCGATCGCTGTTTTGTAGCAGGTCGACTTATTCTACAAAATTTGGCAGATGAATTCCATTCAAGTCTATAAATGATTTACAATTGATATGATTCTTATTTTATAGGTTATTTTCTATTTTATAAACATTTGGATTTCTCTCACTCTCTCTCTCTACCAAAAAATATTTGTCTATTTTTGTATCTGTGTTTAATGTATTTGGCCAAAATTGCAATCGTTTACACTCCGAAATGACTTTGAAAACAGATTTAAACAGGTCACACATGCATCATTTCTTCATCAATTCGATTTGATTCGATTTTAATAAAGTTTTTTTTTATATATACTTAGTTTTTGTTGTTCATGTACTTTGCACATAGCTTTTTTGTTCAATTTTTAACGAATTTTGTAAAATATTAAATCGCTCAAAGCCGCCAATTTTTTCGAATTTATTGTTGGTGCCGATATTTTTGCCTAATATTGGTTTTGGACCGGATAATGCCATCTTTTCCATGTGCTGATGTTGTGATCGCACTGCAAAACGGTTCACATGCACCGGTATTGGTACGACAATTTTTGTTGTACCAGAATTCGTACCCGAACTTCTGCTCATTCCATGCGACGTTAAGCCAGCTTTAACTCGTTTCCACTTGGCACGACGGTTTTGAAACCATATTTTCACCTTTTTTTAGATAAAAATAAACATCAAAATGAAAATACTCACAATTAGTTTGGAAAAAAATGGGAATCGACCATATTAAAATTTGTTTAAAATAGAAATCAATTTTCAAAGGAAATATTGAAACAAAAAGCAAAACGTGTATATTTACTTGAACTTCACTCAGTTTAAGAGTGGTCGCAATTTGACTTCGTTCGGTAAGGCTTAGGTACTTTTTTGCATGGAATTCTCGTTCCAATTCTAATAATTGTTCGGACGTGAATGCGGTTCGTCGTCGTCGTGATTTTGAATTATGCTTTGAATTTGATCGATTTGATCCGGATCCATTGGCCACATCCTCACCTGAACAATCACTATCGAATTGATCTGCAATTCAATGATTAAAGAGATTGTACTTTTTTTTGTTGCTAAAATTTAACTTCGTCACAATTGTGATCTTAAGATAATAACATTTTTTGTTGGTTTTTTTTCTCATTTCTTTTTTTCATGTAAAGATTTTCTTCTTAAATCAAATTTGAATCGAAGTGTATTTTGAATCAAACACAGTTAGACTACACTTAACAATTATTTAGTCAATTTATGATAGAATGATATACCTTGTGTATTATTGTCGCCGTCGGGTGACATATCCAGGCTAATTTCACTATTGCAATCACTATCAACATCGTCGTCGCCGTTTTCATCTGCACCACTATCATCGTTTCGTCCACCTTTATCATAGTCACTATACCGTTCTTTGTCGTTATTTTTCTGAAAATTTGTTTCGATTTCATCACCGTTTGTGGTTAATTGACTTTTGCACTGTTCCACCAAATTATCACCGGGTTGTTGGCTAATGCAATTGATGCCATACGAACTTAAGTGTTTATAATAGTCATTATTTGCACTGGAGATCATTTCATTGAGTCGCATCTCATGAATATTATCCACACCACCAAAGTACTGTTCAATCGATCGCGGTACGATTGGTGGTACATTCCGATCCGACGGATCGATGGTCAAAAATGCGCCTCGACTATCAGTTAACGGTCCCGAATTATTTGCGAATATTTCGGTGAATTTTTCTTTAATCGCACTGTGATTTGTCGGATTCAGCTGCATCATTTCGAGCATATTTCCAGCGGCTTTTTGTTGTTGCATAAAATAATTATGAAACCATGGATTATAGAGTGAAGCTGCGGCAGCCATTGAAACATTTGATGGAAAATACATATTTGGATTTGGTAGTTTTTCATAATTTGGCGGTGTATTTGGTTCTAAGTCCAGTGATTTATTGGCATTCGTTGATATAATACTTTCTATTGAAAATGGTTTCGGACACTTTGGAATACGTGTTAAAGATAAATCGGCCGGTTTATTCACTTCCGTTGGTGGCGATTTACTCTCAACTTGGGCTGGTTGATCCATATTTTCGGTTTCTTTTTTGTGTGTTTTATTGCAAAATGAAAAATTAAAAATCACATTCAAAAACCGTGAACATTTTCAATTGAGCATAAACACAAATAACGTATTAGTACTTTTTTTTCTCCGTTTTTTTCTTGTCGCAAAGATCAACTTAATCACTTTGTCATTAATTAATTCACAATAAATTTACTCAAATTTATCACTTGCCAATTATTGCTCACAAATAAATCGAGCTATCAAAAAAAGAAGAAGAGAACTTCACTGTGCGGCCAACGTTGGCAATGGTTTGCATCCTATCAACGCGACTATCAATCTAGCACTGAAAAAAGTATGTGTGTTTGTAATGTGCTACTGTGCACACACACGTTTCGTTGACAAATTTTCTTTCCAATGAATGAAGAGGGGAGGGCATTACAGAGTAATTCAATTCAGTATGCTATATGCTGCTGGCTCTACACCGCAGTCCCATCAGTGTGTACTATAATTTTAATCGACAAATTAGTACCGATTTGTTTAAATAAATTGCTTCTTTAAATTAAAATGCAAATTAGCTTCATTTTTCACCTAATGATTCATGCAAACCAACAAAATCATCGTTGCGATGCAACGAATGACTATACAAAATTATTTATAATTTAATCGAAACATAATTGACAGCATTTGCTGAAATAAACCGAAACAAAAGGAGCAAACAGCAACAGCAGCATTTGCCGATGAACACCGCCAAAATGGATAATTAAATCGCAATTATATGCATAATATTTTCAGGCAATTTTCAGACAAAGAACAGTCCAAGCTTATTTTATACACTTATTTATACATAAGATTTGTGACTATCGCAATTTTTTTTTTAAATTGCTCACACGAACCAAATATATAATGGACTGTGAGAAAGCTTCAAGCGTGCGCAGAAACTTTGATGTGTTTTGGTTATTTGGTTTAAATGTGCAAGGACCGCCCCTTTTGTTCCAATTGGTGAAAAGAACGAAATCAAGATTATGAACTCAGCTCCAACAACAAAAACAATCAGATTTTACTTTTGTTCATGTTTTATTGTTGCCGATTTTTGCTCCATTTATTTCTTAACAGATTTCGTTCAATCTTTTGCACGTCATCGATTGGAAGTCATCGAAATCGACAAAAAAAATAATCGTTCATTTTTAGCATTTTCTCTAATCGAATTATCTATGAGTCAATAAGATATTTTTCTTTTCTGTAAATGTTTACTATTTTTATCGAATTTCAATATTTGAGTTTCACATTTTCACATCAACAAAAGTGAGAAAAAAAACGTCATATTCAATTGCTTACTACAAATGCATTGTTTTCAATTTTTTTTTTCGATATCATGTCAATTTTAATCATATTGATGTACAAAGTCGGACAAAAGATCATCTTGCGTTAAAACAAACAATGCATTCGTTTCAAACGAGAATAAATAGTTCTAGTCTAATTCTGGCTTTGTCCTTATTTCGATTGAAATTGAAGAATTTGAACTGTATACGTGACAATGTGTGTTAACATCAATCAAGATCATTTACCAAAATAGTGCTTCCATGTCGAGTACTGGATAATGGTGAAAACAGGCCGAAAATATTATGAAAACAAACATCAATTAATAAAGAGGCAATTTGGGCTCTTGTTAACAAATTTAATATTAAAATTATAACGTAATGAAGTCGTTGTGGCTTGTGCGCAGTGCGCGTACATACATTTTTGCCATTTAACATTTATCAATTATGTGTGTGTGTGTGCTTTTTCTCTATGTTTTCATTTTGAACTGTATGGTAATTGATTACCCATATTCGTGGTTAATCGAAACTGCACGCGACTACTTGCATATACACGCATATAGATAGTAATTTACGTGGATATGCAAAGTAAACTATATACAATTATACATATATTGGAAAAACAAACCATTTCCGATACCTATCAATTGTGTTGCGGTCATTTTCAAACAGTATTGCCCATATTGCCATCAAATATAAACGAGAATTGAAATTCTATCCAATAATTAAGGATAATAGTAGCGTTCAAATGCTTCAATTACCACATTGAATAATAAATATATTACATATTTGAATTATTTTTCGATTTTCGGCGTAACAAACTGGTAAAAGGCCAGTTCGTGATATAGTTGCAAAGGACGTCAGTTTGTCATTAGGCAATATATGACATTGTTTCATTGCACACACACAAATAGGCAAGAGCCTCCCATTTACCTTGTAACAAACCGTGTTTAAACCGCTAACGCAACTCTTTTGTTATGCCTTTGGTTGGCATAATGCACATGAATTGCAGGATGAAGAGAAGAAAAAAAAATGTATGGTCGATAAATGATTGTCGATCCTAGTAAATTTCTTAATTGCCGACCTAATGTCGCATACTTTATTCATTGTTTGATGTACGAAAATAGCAAAATATGGTATGCATTGCAGCTGGTCGGCTGTTTTTTTTTTCCTTTACCTTCTCATCGCCTCCGTCACATTTGTAAATAATTATAATGCCTTGTATCGATTCGACTGCACACGAATGCATTTATTCAAAGGATTCGCAAATGCATCTCAATAAGCGCTCAATTCAGGCGGCAAATGATTTATTTTCATTTTAAATGGGCGATAATTTCTTTTCATTTTTTGTTGTTGGTGTTGTTGCATATTATCAGAAATCCACCGTAAATTTCGATTGCATTTGCATCGTTGAATTTCCTCGATCATAAATAACATCACATTTGTGTCGCATTCAACAAAACGATATCACATGTGTATGACGAAGTCATGCCGCTTTCTTTTTGCCACTTTTCAACAACAACAGACGATCGCATGCATTTACATTGCAGCCCGAAAATTTACGACTTATTAAATGCTCGAATGCCTTCAAATGCACAGCCACTTCTTTTTCAGCAACACGGTATGGTGTTGAAATGTTTGCAACTAAACACTTATATTTCTAGTTTAATACCGACAACAAACAAGTACACACACACACACACATACAAAAAAAAAAGTATTCAAAATGAGAATGGAAGAGATACCGTTTTACACTTGCCGCTTCATATGCCATATATCACAATTTATTGGGCAGAACAAATAACTTTGCATCAAAGCCACACGACTTCCACAACAAATTAATTTCATTTTCATTAATTTGTCGGAATGCATGATTTTCACAAACGAAAATTAGTCAATTAACACACCACAAAACTATTTTCCATTTGCACACACACACATGTGCCTTGATATTTAAAACAGAGATGCAAAAATATTATGACTTGATCATTGCCAGTCAACATTCCAATGAGTTCAAATGCAAATGGTGTGCCATGCTTCGATTAACTTTAACTTTAAAGTGATCAGCTCGGTTTCCCAACGAAAACATTTCTATTCGAACATATGATAATTTGTTTGTTCATTGCAATGAGGGATAAGAAGAGAGGGAAATAGATAAACAATTATTTCATTTCGTTCTTAAGAAAGGCTTAAGTAATCACATTGTGAAATGTTAACGAATTCTGTTTTACACTCGAGAAATGTGTCAATTTGAAAATACATAATGAATAATTTGAAAGTATATTTTGAATAGCAGTCGCCATCTGTTGATAACAAGGCACATTAATACCAAAGTACCTTCAAATACGAGTCACATTCAAATAGAGAAAGAGAGAAAAGACAGATACTTAACCATGAATCCGATTGGCGGCGTTGTTTGTTTGACATTTCCATTGTATTTCATCGTGCGAGTGGGTTCAGACTAGAATTCTTATTTCGCTTAAGGTTTTGTTTGTTTTTGTTGATTTTCCGATCAAATTTCATATATTTTGGTGTAGAATTTTTTTTTGTTCTTCCTCTATATCTCAGTGAAATGTTCAACAATAGAATTTTCAAGTGAAATTATACGATTTGTAAATAAATTTGTAGAATAGCATTTGAAATTCCATTCGATCTATTCGAATATAATGCGCCTCACGAGCGTTAAACATTTTGTCAAAAAAATTATCAAAATATTTTCGATGCATACATTCGATTTATTTACAAACAAACACTGTCAAAGTACAAAAAAATAATAATGTGTAGTGCAGCCGATTGTGTTCAGTGCAATGTCATGTCGTATGTGTGTATTTGTGTGCGTGTTGGATTCAAATGTATGAATAGAAGACAAAAGAGGAGAGAAATAAACAACACAGTGAGAGAGAGAGCGAGCGAGGTGGAATAACAAGCGTTTAGCACGTTTCCAACAAATAGAATCGCATCTGTGTTTAAAACGGCTAAAATCGGAGCCAGTATGTGCATTTAAAAATAGCCGCATTCACTTTTTAAAGTGTCCAAGTTTCAAAAACGGGAAATCGAATGGTTTAAATTGCAAATGCGATAAATTCGGAAATTTATAGATAAATCAACTATCTTCTCTCTCTTTCTCTTTTTCTCACTCTCACTCGATGTTATTTAGTTGCTCTCTCCATCATTACATCAAGCAATAAATAGAAGTGTATTTTTTTCTTGATAAGAATACAAACAAATTCTTTTGTCGCTTGTTTGTCAATAAACGTTCACAAAAGTAAACGATTCGGATGTAATTGACAAAGTGCAAAAGACCGTCTGTTATCTTTTGGAATCATGGAAAAAAGTGCGCGCACACACACACATTCATCGAAAATCTAATCGAAATTCCATGTACAAATATAAAATTTTGTCATTTTGTGAAGGAAAGCAAAAGTAATTGCGTAATATATTTAGACACACAGCATTTAATTAGTGCCATAAAAAAGCCCAATACGATCGAGAAAGATGAAAAAAATAAATAAAAATTTATCACACATACATCATATGTGTGAGACACCCACAGTTCGTTCTCATTGGGAAAATTGAAATCGCGCTTTGCCTACACTTCTCTACTCTTTTATCCCTCCGCAACAGTTTTCTGAACATTCAACGATACATGAGTATATGCCATTTATGGTCAAGTTCTCTCTCACGAATGGGTGTTTTAACGTATTTTATTCACTCACACATTCCATTTGGTATTTTGCTGGCTCGAGAGTGTCACAAATCTCAAAACAACAGAGATTTCTTATATAAACCGATATATTTTCTGCATAGATCTCGCTCTCATCACAGTTTCAGATGAATGTGTTGGTTTTCTTCTTCTTCTTCTTATTCTTATTTTGAACAAAACAACAACACATGGTGTGCTTGTTTGTTTGTGTGTATGCATCGTGCATTGAGTATGAAAAAAATGAACGCAGTAGAATTTTCTGATTGAACATTGACACTGTGATCTTTTTGACACGATTATTCTAATTGGAATGTGTGTTTTTTCTCTCCATCATTGTTATTAGGTGAAAAATATTGCATAAAAATCGTGAAACTCTGCCACGGTGAGCGGGCGATAAAAGCAAAGATGCGAAAGGATATTAAGCCGAGCATTTGAATCCAAAAAAGGATTTACATATATTTCTTTTTATATTACAAAAGTGCAAAATTACGTTTAAGTTGAATATAAGTTAATTCAGGTAATTTTAAAGAAACGAAGATACAAAAACAAAGAACGGCAAAACACGAAATGCCTTCACCAACATCAACCGTAGCGTCGACAGTTGTTGCGACACCAGCAATCATCGATGAAATGCCAGGTATGAATTTATGGAATGTATATACAATTTTCAATATTTGCTCTGATCAATGGTTGAAATTTGGATAAAATTGTCATTTCACAGAATAGCTTTGATTTTTAGACCAATGATAGAGCTATTTTCGGCACAAAATCGGAGCAAATCATTTCGAAAATATACCATTATTTATTTATTACGATTTATGCCTATTTGCATTTAAGTTTCAATTAAGAAGATAAATATTAAGCGCAATTATTTACTTAACGATTTTTGATAAGATATAATTTCAAGAAATGAACATATGTAAATAATTTTGTGTGTTAATCTGTTTATTTTGCATTCAAATGTGACATGATTATATTTCGAAAAATGTGGGTGCTCGTTAACTCACAATGTAGATGTGATCGTTTAATTAATCAAATCAAATTCAATGTGACATAATATAAATGTTGCCATATGTGGTATTCGATCCATCCCCGATCGTAATTGATTCACTTAAATAAGTTATATATATATATATCGACATTTTAATTGAAAACGTGTTTATATATCGAATGTTTATGATTTATGTGTAGAAATGAATGGCGTGCGACAAACGGACAGCATGTCAAATTTAAGTGACATGTCTGGTAATACGGCAGTACAAACGAATCGACCACGTATGGACGTTGCATGCGTCATTGACACCGTACATCCAGACCATATAGCACATCGAAAATGTGCACTCGATGAACTAAAACAAGCATGCTCTCTCACCAATGCCAATTTGCACCAGATTCAGGTATAATTACGAATTGGATTCACACCTTTCAATTTAATCTCATGCATTTTTTTCGACTTTGAATGATTTAGTTTGAAAAATTGGATTTTGGCGAAACAAATGTATTGGATACGTTCTATAATGCGGATGTAGCAGTTGTCGATCTTAGCGTTCAACTTCAACAAAGTGCCTTATCCTATCATTTAGGAGTGCGTGAGAGTTTCGGCATGAAAGGAAACATTCTATTGTATAATGACATTCAAACGGAGCAAACACTTCGATTGAAAGTAAGCTTTTGTTACTTCATTAAAAATTTAGATCAAGTGTTACATTTAACATAATTTATTCATTTTTTTTCTCTCTATTCATTCGTGTTCAATCAACAGCTATCATGTGGCAATTACACGTTTCTTCCATACATTTTACAAGATTGCGGATCATGCGTGCTGACAAACACAACAAAAGAATCGTGCGAGAATAAGCAATCGCTCATGCTTAAATTCAAAAAATTATTGCAAGATGTTGAAATTCAATCCAAGTGAGTTAGAGTCTCTTCTACCGTTCAATGCAATAAATTATTCTTTCTAGCGATTTGGTCACACAAAATATTAAAATTAATTTATTCCGACTGTTCATGCACACAGCCTCTCAAAGTAAACGAGTATGAGAATTTTTTTCGATCATTAAATGCATATTATGACGTTTTCCGATACGTCTTTTTCGTCAGAATCAGAGAAATGAAAGAAAAACCAAACTTATTAAAATTTTGGGGTGACCAAACAGATCAAAAAATGCAAAATTTATGCAAAATTTTCAATTAAATTACCATCTCCCATTCAATAGGACACATATGCGTGAGAAATTTTTGAGTGATTTGCGTCTGGCTCGCGAACAATATGTAAATAATACGGAGGAATTGACAAAAGTATTGCACAATATGCGAAAGCGATTGGATGATCCGAATGTGTTATCTGGCGAAGTGGTACATTCGTACATGTGTTCGTTGCGTGATACCCAAGATTATGATGCAATGGTTCAGCTGGTCAATGACCTGCGAACAATACCAAATAAACGAAAGCACATCGAAACTGGCAACATGAAATATATGTATGCGTTTGCATTGAATCGACGAAATGCAGACGGTGATCGTGAAAAAGCGCTAAATACATGTGTCAAAGCATTAGAACGTAAAGAGAACCATTTTCCTGATATGTTATGTTTGTGCGGACGAATTTATAAAGATAAATTTGTTGAATCGAATCACACCGATATGGATAGTTTGAAAAATGCCATCCGATGGTATCGACGCAGTTTTGAAGTACAACCAAACGAATATGCTGGCATCAATTTGGCCACATTGCTTGTGATTGATGGCAAAGATTTTTCCAATACGGAAGAACTGCAACACATCGGTATGGTGTTGAATAATTTAATTGGGAAAAAAGGTAGTTTATTCTCATTGAATGAATATTGGGATGTTGCAACATTTTTCGAAATATCAGTACTGGCCGAAGATTATAGTAAAGCCATTCAAGCAGCCGAATGTATGTTCAAATTGAAACCACCGAATTGGTATTTAAAATCAACGATTGGAAATATTGCGTTGATTGATCGCTTTCGTAAAAAGACTGATGACGTTGAACAGAGTCCGGAACAAAGTATTTTTCAATTTTGGATGGAATTCTTTCATGAAGCAACCAAGGAAGGTGATCTGGATATGATTCGATTTCCGATTTTGGTAAGAAGAATTTGCCATTTCGATTTTCTCCATTTGAATTTGTTTTTTAATGATTTTTCCATTCCGATACAGATATTGGAGCCGCAACGAATTTTTATGCCAAGTTTCGTGATCATCAATATTGGTGCCGAAGAGCAATCGATACAAATAACCAATTTGTGTCTGGCACATTCGAAAGGAACATGCAAAAAAGTGCATGATTTTCTTTTCACCGCCAATCAAATTAAATCAGTTAGTTTATACAAGCGTGACGAGCGTTCCGCCTATTTATATGTACATCACAATTCGGATGATTTTCAAATGTATTTTCCATCGGCTTATTGTCGACAACGTTTTTATGATTTGGTTCGCGAAATGACCGCCGATCAAGAAGTATTTGTAGATTTATCGGTCGATACGAATCCCATTCAGGATTATGAATACGATGTTGATGATCAGGGTCGTCGAATTATATTAGGTAAAGGTACTTATGGTGTTGTTTATGCGGCACGTGATCTTAATACTCATGTTCGGATCGCTGTGAAAGAAGTACCTGAAAAATTTACACATGAAGTACAACCATTGCACGAAGAAATTAAATTGCATTCCCAGCTACGGCATCGGAATATTGTACAGTACTTAGGTTCTGTGTCGGAGAATGGATTTTTTAAAATTTTCATGGAGCAAGTGCCAGGTTTTTATTAATTACATTACAATACATATTTTCTTGTGTTTAACTAAATTGATTTTTTTACACGTCAGGTGGTTCTCTGTCGGCATTGCTGCGATCCAAATGGGGCCCACTTAAAGATAACGAATCAACCATAGCATTTTATTCAAAACAAATTCTCGAAGGGTTGAAATATTTACACGATCAAAAAATTGTACATCGTGACATTAAAGGCGATAATGTTCTTGTTAATACATACAGTGGTGTTTTGAAAATTTCCGATTTCGGTACCAGCAAGCGATTAGCAGGTATGAGATATTTTCGAAATAAAATGTAAATTTTTCGATTATTTAAATTCCAAAAATTTAAAAATTGAATTTTCTTCTTGAAATGAATAGGAATAAATCCAATCACCGAAACATTTGCTGGTACATTGCAATACATGGCACCCGAAGTCATCGATCAAGGTTTTCGAGGCTATGGACCGGCGGCTGATGTCTGGTCATTTGGTTGTACAAATGTTGAAATGGCAACGGGGAAACCGCCATTTGTTGAACTGGGATCACCGCAAGCGGCCATGTTCAAAGTTGGCTTCTACAAAAGTCATCCGGAAATTCCGGAAATGTCTTCGATGGCCGAGAGATTCATTCTACGTTGTTTTGAAGTTGATGTTGATAAACGTGCAACAGCCGCTCAATTGCTAGAAGATCCATTTTTATCCGAGTATGTTTCAATACACATGAAATGACAACAAACGAATAGAAATAATGCCTTTTTTTACTCATTTCATAGGAAACATCGAAAATCACGTATTTTAAACCCGACAAATAATACCGAATTCATACGAAGCGTTTCCGTTCCGGCGGATCGAATGATTTCTAAGAATGCCCCACCATTTAATCCAATTACAACACCTGTCACACCCGATTTGGAGTATGTGTCAAACCCAATCCATTATTACAATACAATTTCATGCAAAAAACATTTTGGATTGCATTTTGTGTTTTTGCTTCAGATTTTTGCATTTTTTCCATCAATTTGTTACATTATAATCCGCTCATATTTCTAATATTGTTTGTGTTTGGAATTTTGGTTTTGAAATAAGTGGATTGTGTGTTTTTTTTCTCTCTTTTTCCTCCATTTTATTTATTCGTTCTTTCATGTAGTAGCACGTCTATGTCAACCCGAACATCACCGAAAACATTATCTCGAACTCATTTGGCACCAATTCAAATACCCATTCCAATTATAATGACCCAAAGGTACATATTGATATGCATATGTTACTGATTTATATTCTTTTAACTTTGTGTTCAAGTGTTATTATATATATGCTTTATTTTTTCGTTCGATTTTTTTTTATAAATGAATAACAATGCTTTACTCACACTTGTTTTTTTAATTTAAAACCTATGCCAATTATTCGATTCAATGAAATTGATAAATTATGATTTTATTTGATTTATGTATGAATAGTTTGGCGTGTTCACCGTTAATCGATACTGATCATGATGTAGACACAACGTTCAGTTTGAATCGACGAAGTTCATCGGGCGTATTACTATCGCCTGAAGTTGAAATGACCGGCAGCATCAGCAAACCATTGACTGAAGCATCCGAAAGTGATGGATTTTATATGCTAAAAAAAGACTCACAACGTCGAACAACCCTATCGAAAGTATTAACGCACGATGAGCAAAAAATCTGTGATGTTTGGATGGACAAAATTGAAAATAATCACAATGTTCAAGTTGTCATTAGCAAGGTAACCGAAATTCACATTGAAAATATTGCAACATTGTGTTTAACTCAACGTATCGATTCCCCAGGATAACCTTGAAACCATGAGCCGAGCCTTGCGTGATTATATTATCGACCAAAATACGGAATCACTGCAAAATGTTCTAATTTCACTTAAGAAGAAACTGAGCTCCGATGCAACGGCAATCGACCATCTACATTTAGCGCTGTATTCATTTCAAGTGAGCTTAATAATTCAAATGTTTTCTCTTTTCAGTGAGTAAGAAATGTTTGTTTTTTTTTTTAAGGATGCCGTAAATACAGTGCTTCGATCACACAGTATCAAACCTCATTGGATGTTCGCGTTGGATAGTTTAGTTAGTAATGCCGTCCAAGCTGCAATTACCGTTCTATCGCCAGGTACTTGCGACTATAATTTTACTTGCGACTATTTTCTATAAAAAAATTTGGTTGATTTTTTTCTGTGATAGAATTGGGTGCAAATTTGGCTGGTCGATTGGATAATGCTGAAGAAGAGGAAATGTCAACGTCGGGCGTGAGTACAGTTAACTCGACCAAAATGAAGCCTAGCGGTGACACTAAATACTTGAATGAAGAATTCTCCAAATTAAAAGTTCAGAATATGCATCTCATGCAAAATTTACTTGAATCGCATAAACTGTATCAGGCACTTTTAAAATCGACAATCGAAGAGCAACGCCTGAATTTAGATTTGTTGCGAAATTTTAGTTCGCAACTGACAAACGCCACTGTGCTTTATGAACGCAGTATTTCTCAAGGGTAAATAGAATTTTTGTTTTATTTATTTCGAGGAAAATTAATGTTACGTTTTTCGATGTCCAAAGTTATCATAGTGATGTTAGTGATATGACCGTGGGACGAACTCAAAATGATCTATCACCGAATTCAATAACCGAAGTGGATGCCATCAATAACAATAACAATAATCGAAATATGGAATCGAATTTACCAAGAAAATCCGTTTTAATCACAAACCAAAATCAATGTAAAGCAGACGCACAACCAAAAATCACATCACCTGGACGACGATTAATCGGTAATCGTGAACAAAATGCACTCACTTCGATACCAGTGGATGCACGTCTTAATGACTGGCTGAATGCAACAAATATCGATTCGATTTCGAAGAATTTAATTCTAGCCGAACAATTTACGTACGATGATTTTATTTATGGGATGGAAAAAACCGATTTACAACGCATTGGATTGAAGTAAGAATGATTTGCACTTCATTTCATATGCAAACAAATGTGTCTAATGTGCAATTTTCATTTGTTTATTTCATGTGTGTATCCACCCATCGAACTGAAAATAGATGCGGGGTTGAGGTAAAAGTTTGGCGTGCAATTATCAAGCATCGTACACAATTCCCAGACGCAACACAGATTGATATATGAAAGCGGAAACGATATACACGAAACTAGATATTGATCAAACGAACCAACAACAAAGAAACATTGCAATGCGCACAAAATGATGTGGCTTATCCCCATTTATAATTTGTTTTATAATTTTTTTTTTTTTTGTTTTTAGTTTTTGTTTTGCCATATTAGCAAATAGAATAATGAATACGGATTCATCATCGTCGTCAGGTTGATCATAGTGATTTTATTTTCAATTCAAATCCGAGTTATTTTTCATACAAAAATAGCTTGCTAACGAATTGAATATGCAGCTAATGTTATAATATGGAACCCATCATCATGATTTAAAAAAAAATGTTACAAAATTAGGAGTAAGAAAGTCTATTTTTCTAAGGAGAACATTTTCATACCCCATAAACGAAAATTATACAGACGTGTTTTATTTTATATAAAATATATATATACATATACATATTTTTTCCTATTTTGTTCTTTTTCTACGGAAATCAGAGATTATAAAATAAAAATACGATTAAATTCATGGGTGGTGTTTTATTGTGCATGCTGCTCAATTATTTTGATTTATTTAAATTTGTGGTTCGTGTGGTAAGTCTAAAACTCAAATGCTTAGAGATAGAGAGATTATTCTATTGTACAATTTGGCTAAATGAAAATTGTCATGAATAATGAAAACAAAACGAATAGGAGCAAAAAAAAAAAAAACGAATTGAAATCGGTAAATTGTCGATCGTAGATTATTATTTGCCGATAATGATTTTGCGTGCTTTACCGAAACTTTGGCCAGATTGATTGGCACCTCTGTTTGTTCCGGCTTGCAGGCCAATGATCGCTTCTGATGCACGCAATTGATCTTCGGTGAATTCTCGACGATTTTCTTCGCTTGGTTTTGGACCCAAATGAGGACCTCTATATTCTGGATGCTTGTAGGTCTGATAGATAAAAAAATTTATTATTGTTACGAAATTTCTACAAAGAACGAATAAACAAATTTGTTTATTTGAATAAAAAAAGAAATACTTACACAGCGTCCGATGGCAAAGATGGTTTGAGTGACAAGAGCAATGTTTTTGAAATCCCACAAATCGGTGGTTTGGAACAAATCTACGTCATCGAGTCCATACAATGTGCACGCTCTTTGAAATCTGTTTACAAACAAAAGAAGAAAATTTAAATAAAAATAAACACCTATGTATCTACATTCAACATATAAATGCTTTAAGTACACTCGCTAATTCTAATCAGACACAAGTTTCACTCTAAACGTACTCTATCAACCAACCACTATAACAATTTCTACCAGGTACACATAACGAACAGCAGCGTTGTGCGCAACACAATAACAAAGCCATCGAAACGTAACGCTGTTGCTGCTCCAGTGAACACACACATAGCTGTGTTTAACATGTGTCTATCCACATTTTTTTTTTTTCATTATATTCCTTGTGTTTTCTTCTTTCTCTCGTTTTCATAGCGATTATACGATGATAAACACAAAAAATCACATACCGGACCGAGTTTCAAGTGCATTTGGTGTCGCTGGATGTTTTTTCCTCTTCATTATAATGATATTAAATTGAAGTGGTTCAAGCAATCATGGAACATCAAGTAGAGCAATCGGTGAATTTTTTAACCGGCGCCAATAAGACGCAGAAGCATTGATTTTATTTGTCTTGCTTTGATACAACGCAATGCACATGCAAGCGTATGTATTGTGTCCCCACACTGAAGAAAACGAGTCACAAACGCTTTTCGACCAAGTAGAAATTATTCACTGTGTATTCCAGTGCGACCAGGCACACAGAGAATCGTACGACTATAAAATCGGTGAATGCGTTTGTGGGGCCCGACTGCGTTTCACTTTACAATATTACCAGTGAGAAACTTTTGACGCAAACCTGTTTGGTGTGGATTGTGGACACACAGTTTTGATCTGAGAGGGGCAGATAGAGAGAAAAAAAAACACAACAAATTCATAAATGTATATTCATCAGTTTGACCGCTGCATGCGTGTGGCCGAATATAAATTGTCGAATTTTTTTTGTATAAGATCGAAACGAAGCTTTTTTCGCCAACTTCAAACGATTGCAAATAAAATCTTCGAACCAAATGCATACACAAACATTTAACCGCTTGATAATTTTGTGCCAAATCGTATCGAAAAAAAAACATCAAAAGTTTCAACATTTTAAGCGTCTTTCTTCCAAAGTGTTTTTACCAGCACCGCATAAAAGGCAGCAACGTTCGTTTTCTAACAATATTTGGTTGAGATTTGTTTTTTTTTATTCATTTCGTTTCACTTGTGCCACACAAAACACACAGTCACGCTACATACAATCGCCAAGCGTTAGAAATGCTATTTGTATGTTGTTGTGTCTAATACCAAAAATAACATATTAGTTTAATGGTGCCCACACCAAACACGTTGATGTTGTTGTATGTTTTTGTTTTGTTGGCTTGTGTTGCTTTGAAATTATATTTTATATATACAAGCATTATTTCCATTGGATTATGGTTGCTTGTTCCGATTGCTTGCTCCTTAACAACAATTGCATTCACCGGTCGGTTGTTGTTTATTCGCTATATCTTTTGTGTTGTATTTTCTTTTCGAACAAACACAGCGTCATTCAAACAAAAAAGTGCATGCAATTGCTGTTGCTGTGCTCATACTCTCATATATGAGGCCCGGTACAATTGTCTATGCACATGCAAAGTATCGTTTTTTTAGCGTGCGTCTCTCTCTCTTTATTTTCCTTAAATTGAATTATTCGAAAATTTATTTATATCTTACTGATTAATGTTGTCCATTAATTTGTAGTCTCCGCCGCTTGTGTTAATTTTTTGAATGATTCCTGGAGCCAATCGATTCATCAATTTACACAAAATAATACCATCGCGCAATGCATACTCGTATGGAACGTTCGGGAATCTTTCGCCAATTATTGATTCAATCCATTGTTGAGCTTGCAATTCTTCTTCTGGTATACGTTTTCCAGCAACCTGTTTAATTGAAGGGAATAGAAATAAAGAATGTGTTGTTTTAATTACATAGTATTAAAAATTATTGTCTCTTTTTTTTGTTTCAATTTCATAGGCACGAAACTAACAGTAACAAATACAAAATCGAATGCTATCATCAACGATTTCATTGAATCGCTTGGAGTTCGAGTGAAAATTGCCACTTGATGACGCACGAAATGTATTTAAGTATCCATTTATTAGCATTGTTATTATCGACATCCTTTCATGCCATAAGGGGCACCTTTATTGCCCGCCCTAGTTTTATTTAACCATCATTAGCCTAATCTATGGCTCGAAAGAAAAAAATGCTTGAGAGATTGACAGCACGATTGAACATTTCGTTTGGTTTACATTTTCGACTCAAGTCATTTGGTAAAGACATTTTTCTTTCACAATTGAACATTAAACATTTTGTTTACATATCGTAATAACATTCATAGACGTTGTCATTTGGTTTTCTCGTCGCTAAACGATATTTTCTCCTCTGTCTCCTTCTATTCTTTTCGAATAGATTGCATAAGGCATTTTTGACATGTACAGTTCGATGTGAACGATGTGTGACTATAAATATGTTCTGACTTGACTAAAATCCGGTGACGATTTTCTCCCTTCTTCTCCGTACACGCTCAATCGAAAAATTGCGAAAAAAGCGAACAGAGAAGATTCGAGATCATCCGCCACACTAATTTTCAGCTTCAAATGAACAGTGAATTTCTTTGAGATGTTCATCCTTATTCTCTGCTTTTTCTCTCACTCTCTCTTTTTCAAATGTAACACGAATATAAAAATGTAGAAATAATGATTTTTGGTTGGCCAAATAAGTAGCAATAAAAGAAAAGTGTTTTAGATAATGTCGCTTGTTTATACACACATATCCAAACATATGGTCGTTTTGATTCATTGAGGTTTTCAAACCAAAAAAACAATCACTTCTTGCTTCTTCATGTCTATTGCTCCACACACTCAAATGTGACGTCGACAAATTTGAATTGAGTGAATAATGTCAAACATGTGTTACCTGCACACACAAAGTACACAAGTCATTGCTCCTTTGCGGACAAGTTAAGAGTTAAGTTAATTGCCCGTGAATGCAACGAAAAAACTCTTGTCTCTACGTCGAAATAGTCATAGAAAAAAATACGTAGAATTCGAATTCAAATCAAACAAAACAAAAAACGAATGGAAATTGCTTAGCTCTCATTGAACCGAGCAAATGAATTTTGAGCGTTGCTTTTTGCTTTTTTTTTTCGAAAATGAAATTGAATGTACCAGTTCGAATGATTCAGTCATAAAAACATCTATCGTAACGGGGTTATTTTTAAAACATATTTATATACATATTTTGTATTTTATTGCTCTCGACACCGAACAAGTCGATACACATCCATCGACGATTGTTGGAATCAGCAGTAGATTGGCTAAGCACGTACACTTCATTTTCATTAAGTCGCTGTGGCGTCTATAAATTATAATCCTCTCGACATTTTTCTCTCAACTAATAGGACACAACGCGCAAACGGCACACCAACAACAACAATTTCGAAGATAAAAAAGAAATCGACGCGCTACAAACGATCATCTCAACACAGAGCATTTGTGTATAGTGTTTTAGCAAATCCAGAGCAATCAGACAACAGTAAAGACAGCCTACAAAAGAAAATCACAGAAATACACACGCTTGGTCGCTTACTGAATTTGCGTATATTATGTTTTCATTGAATCATTTTATTTCTTGATATGTTTACATCTGAACAAACTACAAGAATCGAAGTCATCGATTTGGCAGTATGATTACTTTAGTAGAACACAGCGTCTCTCAATATTCAAATACGTTTGAAAAATGAAAAGAATGATAGTGTAACATTTAATTTCGTAGGAGAATTGTGTATAAAGTGGCCACCTACACCTAATCCACAAAATAAAAAATTATTAAATATACATATGATTTTTTTTCTATAAGAAAATTTTGTTTATATTTTTCATGTCGACGTTATTTCAATGAGCTCATTGAATGAATAGAAAAGCACATAGTCATCTATGGGGGGAGAGATAGAAAGAGATGGAAAAACAAAACAAACTCTGTTGTCAAAATGATTTTGCACACTATGACACATTTTATCCGTGATGATTTGGATTTTGTTGTTTTTCTTTCTCTATTTATCTTTTATATTTTTCTCATCATGCTAAATGTTCTGTGTTCCATTTTTCAAATCGTCCTTTACTGTGCTCATTTGCACATTTTGCTATTCATTATGCTTTCATCTCTTTCATGTTCGTTTCATTTTCCGACTCTCTTCGTCTGCGATGAGCGTGTGCGCGCGCATTTCGGATTTGTATGGTATTGTGAATGTGGTGAAAAGCGGAATTTGGATCTTGTTATAATACGAAACGAAGAGATGAAAAACATTGCCTTGATCATTTCGGCGTATACACACACACATACACAGTGATTTTTAGTATTTCAGGTTCAATTTGACTTTGGCTTCACTCAGATTCAAATTGGCACTCAGTCGCTAAAGACCATAATCTTCAAGTCGAAAGAAAATCGAATTTTATCCAAATTCTTTTCATTTTAAATTATTAATTATTTTAGATCGATTTCAGAATGGCGGTAAGATATTATTCATATATAAAATATATTTCAATTTTTTTTTTCGGTGATTGATTGGATCGGTGTGATAAAGATGATGTGACCTCATTCAAAGAAAAAATTAAATCATTTCATTGCAACGAATTTATTATCGTGATCGAATATTACTAGATTATCTATATATTTTTTTAAATTGTGTAAGAGTCGTTGGCGTGTCATGCAGATCGTAATTGAAACAAAATCGTTAATTTGTTGTTATATATATCTGCAAAATGCAAGCGATTACTGCAAACAAACAAACAAACAAAAAATCAAGAGTGTTTGGTGTGCCAAAAATTGAAATAGAAGAGGATAGAAAAGCGTCGTAATTAGGATCATAGTAACACTTCTTTTTTCCTTTCATTCAATGTAATAAAGAAAAACACTTTAGTCATTGTATATTGAATGGCAAGTGACAGATTGGCAATCAATCGCATCAGTTAATTCATTCGTAACCCAAGGAAGATATAATATGAATTATATCAATCATTAAAATTGTCGTTTGAATACGTAGGTGTGTCCATTGCCATGATGAAAAACAAAACAGTTACGAAACGTTGATCGCTCAAGCTTTCAGTTTTTTTCTCTTCTTCACTTTTTTCCCCGTTTCGCAAAATAATATTATAATAATTTCGTTAGTTTTCATAATATTCTGGTGTGCATTTCTTTTTCTTCTAACGCAAACATACATGCGTGTGTTTGTACCGGAAAGAGAGAAAAATAGCCAAATTGTATTTTATTTAATTTTTTGTTTCGTTGCATTTTGCACAAATACACACACATACACATGGAGTACGTGTCACACGAATCACTTTAATTAATTTCATATTATTTTGTTCTCGGCTGTATTTTTATTAATGCACATAATTCTGAATCGGGAACCGATTGCAAAATCACTCGGCGCTACCTACAGTTATTAAATCACATTGTAAACGGAGGGAAAAAATGACTTGTCGTCACAACATTATTTTTCATTAATTATACATATTAAAGTAGTTTTTTGAATGCTCGTTTCTATTCTCGAATTAGTCTTTCATTAAAATTTTCCACAACAAGCATTACTCATGCAAACACACACAATTCGGTGCATCGGTGATTTTATATGATCGTTTGATTTTCGATTTATTTTTATTGCACATCAGCCACGTAACAAGGAACAAGAGCAAGAAGTTTTGGAATGGATTTTCGCTGTTTTGGGCGAAAAAGTGCCAGCCGGCCAATATGAAGACATTCTTAAGGATGGCATTGTTTTATGTAAATTGGCCAATAAACTTACGCCCGGCTCGGTAAAGAAGATTCAAGAGCGTGGCACCAATTTCCAATTGATGGAAAATGTACAACGTTTCCAAGCTGCCATCAAGAAGTACGGTGTTCCAGAAGAAGAAATCTTCCAAACTGCCGATTTGTTTGAACGTCGTAACATCCCACAAGTTACATTGTGCTTGTACTCATTGGGTCGCATTGTAAGTGAACAATTTTCTAACGGTTCAAACTCTTGACATCATTTTCTTGATTTGTTTGGGTTTTTTTCTAGACACAAAAACACCCTGAATTCAATGGACCAGCATTGGGACCAAAAATGGCCGATAAAAATGAACGATCATTCACCGATGAACAATTGCGTGCTAATGCAGGTCAATTGGACTTGTTGACACAAGGACAAATGGGAAAAGCATCGCAAGCTGGACATGGTGGATTCGGAAACACTCGTCATATGTAATCTAGTCACTGTCACCAATTGACATCGCTTTAATACAATTGTTTTTTTTTTTACATTTGCTCACGGCATCAATATGTTTTTATTAAAGTGAAAAATGAATGTACGATAATATTTTTTTTTAAAAAGAACCAATTTAATAAATTCATTTAATTGAATTCGCAAAAGCTTTTAAACTTGGCGCTTGTATGTCTTTTCTTTTTTTTTCTCTATCTCTATTTTGATTAAATTGTGTGAGATGAGAAAATTTATTTATTTATTTTTAGAAACTATATAAAATATGAATGATCAACGAAAAATGTTACATCGGTGCTGCCAAATGAGCGAAATAAAATTAATTAAATTGTCTTGTATAGACGGTTTAATCGACTAATTAACAATATTTTGAATTTATGATGATTTCAGTTGATTTTTATTGAATTTGTCGATAAAAACTGATTCGATTCGAAATGAAAGCCATTTGACCTTTTCAAGTGCGATGGCGAAATCACAGACTGACACACATGTGTGTTGGAGAAGAAAAAAAAATCGTCTGAGATTTGTGCGCCAATGAAATCCGAGAATAGATTCAATGTATGGAATTTGATAAATTGACATCGAGTTCCGAGTTCCGAGTTGAGATTTCATTACATTTTGCCACAATTTCCGAATTAACTGAAATACTTGAACATTTGTAATCTGATAACTCACATCGTCCGTATGCTGCTAATTCGAAATTGGTGTGTGATTTATGTTCCGTATTGACGTAAAACTATGAAATTGCGGTTGTATTTGAATGCTCAACTTTATTGAAGCGCTTGAAAAACACTCTGAATAAATAACATTTTCAAGTGCGTCTCATTTCATATAAATCAATTAAGAAAGGAATGAACATGTGAATATGTTATTGCTTTTTTGTGTCGAAGGGAATAAAAAAAAAATAATAATATTTTAAATCGTAAATTTTTTTGGCTTCTGTCAGATTTAAATTTTCCAATCATTTCAAATCGTTTACGTTGTTTACGTGGTGAAAATGTGAAGGTCGGCAATGAAATTTATTTTTGGAATTAGAATCATCTCGAGCAGCGATGAGAGAACAGGCGCTTTCATTCACATCACAATTCGCTGTTGTTGATTTTGTGTGCGCTTTTTTTTGCGGTTGATCGAGCTGGAAAATCAAATTGAGAGTAGCACCATTTTTCGTGGGTTTTTAATCATCTGATTCTGTAGTCCCCAAGTGACTTTATTGTGCGATGATCTTGAAATTTTTTTTTTTATTTGAAAAAATGAGTCGATTGTTTATTTCTTTCTCTGTTCGATTCATAAAAATTGTTTGGCATGGCAAATCAATGACGATGATGTCGACGACAAGTGGTGGCGATTGCCATAATCCATATGGCTGTGATACGAACGGAAATCTGTTGAGCATTTTATTGAATTTCCTCTTGCCAAACGGCCACAGTAAACACATAACCACACCACTTAATTACCGAAACTTTTTTTTTAACCTACGACAATAACGACTATTTTCGATATATTTTGAATATTCGTAGGAAAATGTATGTCTCTTTTACCGCTAAGCGGCATTCTTGGTTTTTTTTTATATTCGAAAATATGAAGCCAGAAGAGTGAAGTCATAATTGAAGAAGAAAAAAAATCATCCAAAGAAGAAAACTTCTCATGTGCTCGTCATTTTATGTGCCATTACAAATATATTGTTCGGTGCGCATTGAGTGATGAGCTCAACTTGGATTTTTTTTAGCTACTACATTTGTTTTTCCTTCTGTGTATTATGTGCATTTTTGATTGGCACAACAACAGCACCCACAAAAAATAAAACACAAATCGAAAATGGAAAACGCTTGCATGCATGTGCTCCTCGAAAAAAACAGCAACACTTTTCGAAATGTATACAACAATGTGTGAAGCATGTGGATGTGATTTCTTGACTTCCAAACGTTGACAATTATTTGTATCCGTTGTTAACTGACGCACGATTGCATTCAGCAAGTATATTTTTGTCGTTTACAATGAAACTGAAAAGAAAAGAAGAACAAAACAAAAGAAAAACAGCACACAACGCAACAACAACAACAACAAAACCAAGACAAAAACGACGAAAAAGAACGCAACCGACAAAGTAATAATAAGAGGAAAAAAACAACAACATCATCGTGTGCGCTTTATCACCTAATTGTACTTCCAGCCAGCATTATATAATAAAGTCGGAGCATGCAACTTGTTCTCATAACCGATCGAGAACTGAAGGTGTGCGCATACGCGGGAATATCAATCACTGTTAATAATTTTTTTCGAAGATTTTTTTTTAAAAGTAGTTGTTGTCGTTGTTGTTGTGTAAAATATTATTGAATTTTGTTGTCCACGCAAGCCAAAATCCGCATTTCTCGATTTTATCGCCAAGCAAACATATCATTCCACAGTGTGAAACATTAAAAAATAAATTGTGCACATTTTTGATCTGTGATTTGCCGTTCCATTTCTGTTAAAATATTTTGTGTTTTTATAAGCATTTGTGATTTTCCAAATAAAAAAAGGACCGAAAATGATTAGCATTACACTTTTCATGAGTTTCGTTGGCATGAGCTTGGCTGGCGACTACATGGTTACCAAAGGTATGTGCTTTGTTTGTTTTGTTTTTTTTTTCGCACAGCCCACTTTCTCATAAATAACAACAGAAAAAACGATTTTTTTTTGCTTCCAAAGGCCTCTGTCAAAGGTGTGAATTCTCACATAGAACATTTTGATTTCGAAACACACAAGAATTTGAAAAGTTTCTAACCACCAAACAGAGAGAATAGAAAAATAAGAATAAAATTAAAAACTTGAATTCAATCAATGGGAAAAAATGAATGTGTTAGCGGTTGATTTGGGCGCTTTGAATTGCCTCTCAAAGTAATTCACAAAATAGCCGAGCTCTAAAAAAAAGATGCATTGTATGCACGATGGCTTTATAATTTTATATTCATGAATGGAACGTGCGTTCACATGGTCGACTGTGATTGAGCAATCAAACAAATGTTGACATCTGGCCACGCCGATTGCTACAACTTCAGCATGCAATTTTTGGTTTATTGGTTAAATGTGTCTTTAAGTCGTCTCCATTTTCATAGTCGTCGTGGTAATATCAAACCAATCGAAGATTTTTTTTCGTCTTTGAATCAATTGGTTTGGCAATTATATTTCATTCAAGTGTATGTATCATTTTTTTTTTGGTCTTTCGGTTCGAATTTTTGAAAGGTTGTTTGCCATGAAATTCGAATTTATAAGCATATCACATAAAAGAAATAGCCACAAATATTCGCATTTAGTTTGTTGAATGCTGGCAGTTTTATATTTTTCAATCGTTCTTCATGGAAAGTGAATGTAATTTTGTTTGTTTTTTCTCTACTTCTTTACATCTCTCCCTCTCAATCGTTTTTTTTTTCGTTTGCGTATGCAATTGCAACAGCGCATCATGTGTAAAGTATTCTCACCCAACGGAACTTTAACAATTGAAATTTTCCACGTAATTCAAGAGCACGGGAATTTGGCAATGTTTACTGAGTTTAGATTTAGTTTTAGTTCTACTTTTTATAAAATTTAATTGCACTTTTCATTGTGAAAAGCGAAAATTTATAATTCTTTTCAAATTTCAGATGATTGGCTAAAAACCTGTCAAATCGATGATCCCAATTTTGAGGCCTGCTCCCGAGAGAGTATTCAGGGTTTATTCAAGCAATTGACAACAGGTGAGAGTTGCATGCATTCAAGTTTCATTTTGTTTTCGTTTTTTGTTTTTCGTTTATTTGACCCAGTTTGGTATGCATATTTGTTTCATTTGTGTGTGTGTGGTCCATATAGGTATTGAGGGTTTTACAGCAATTGAGACAATCGATCCGATGAAATTAAACCGAATCAAGATATTCCAGGGTGAAGGCCCCGTTAGCATAAATTCTTCGCTTTCAAAAGCGTCGGTTACAGGTTTTGCCGAAACTCAAGTTATTGAGAGCAAGTAAGTACTTTCATCGACCGTTTTTTCGCTTTTATTTTTCGCCGAACTACATGATGAAAATTGCTTTCTTCTTTTTTTGTTCAGAGTGAATCCAATTGACTACAGTTGGGAGACACATTTGTTTGTGCCAAAAATACGCATCGAAGGAAACTATCATATGCAAGGACGTATCTTGGTAATTCCACTTAATGGCCACGGAAAGTGCTGGTTTGAGCCAAGTAAGAACACATTTACACCCGACTAAATTAATTTAGCATATCACATCGTCCATTTTCTTGTTTGCTTTGATTATTACTCTTTTTTTTTTCAATTCGTCTGGTGTTTGGTGAGTTTCCGCGTGTAATGAAGTTTCATTAATCAAAGCATTAAATGCAACTCATGCGATAATACAAACATTACATTATACGGTAAATGACCGTATCATTTTAATTCATCGTTTTTATTATCATTTTACGAGGCGGACGAGTGCGCGATGACAAACTTAAAAAAACACAAACGCGGAAATTAACCATGCAATCTATTTTAACATATCAAATAATTTTCTTTTCTTTTTTGTTTCATTTTCTTTCAAATGGATTTGATCGCAATTGATATTGTTGTTTCCCATTTGTTATTCATATTATTATATTGTTGTTGTTGTTTTCTTTTATTTTCATAGAAAATATGGATATTATAATGAAAACAAAAACTCATCTTTACGAAAAGGATGGACATGTTTTCTACAACATTACCGGCACTCAAGTCGACTACACGCTCAGTGGTTTAAAACTACGTCTTGATAATTTGTTTGACGGTGTTAAGGTTCTAGGTATAATTGACTTTTCTTAGTTGTTGAATAGTTTCATCTAATCAGAAAAATGAGTTTATTGCTTTAAAAATTTGAATTTTATTTCAATAGAGGACAGTACCAATCAGTATTTGAATGAAAACTGGCGCCCAGTTTCAGATGCATTGAAACCAATCCTGGCCAAAACCATCGAAGACATTCTTCTTGTGATTTTAAATAAAGTATTCCACTATATACCAGCTGATTATATGATTTCCGACATTCCACGCCCAAGTCAACTCTATGGTTAGACTGTGTGATTTTTTGTAAACGATCCCCGGGAGAAAATGGAGACAATTTTTGACCATTCAAATATTTTATTTTATTATTATTTTTGTAATTCAATATTATTCGGATAGTCGATTGAAATGTATAAAGGAAGATGAAATAAATCTATTGAATTAGTATAATTTTCAAAATATTGATATTTGCTCATCGCAATGGCAAATCACTCATGTGATTTAAATACCTGTGGAAATCAGCATGTTGAAAATGCCATTTTCACAAGAAAAATACAAAAATTACACACGGTTAACACCCACACATGAAGTGTATTTTAATTCAAGGCCAAAAACACACAAAATAAAAATCAAATTGTTTTTCTTTGTTGTTTATTTTGAAAACTGTTCACGCTCAAGGATTTTCAAACGAATTGCAAAAATATTTTAATTGACACAATTTTTTTGGCTGTGGCCTGTATCAAAATTCTGTAATCCAGTAGTAGAATTTCTCGGAATTCGGATTCTGATGCTTTTCTTAAAATTTGCCTACTTTCGGGCTTAATGCGACGTGAAAATGTGAAAAAAGTGGGGAAATGCTTTTATATGTTGAAGCAAAAAAAAAAAAACAATGAACTCACAAATTCATGGAAATCTTCTCAAATTGGAATTCTAACGAATCAACAACACTTTTTAAACAATTTCTAGATCGAACGAGTTTTTTTTATTAACGGAATTTCTTAAAACAATGCGAACGACATTGAAAGTTTTATTTATTTTACTAAACATGCAATGTGCACTTACTTGCCAAATTGGACGGCCTGGCATTTTGGATTTAATTTGGATAATTTAATTTAAAAAAATGAGAACAGCAAAAATATAACACTGGATGAGCACAAAATGGCACACTTCACTTTTAGAATTTCCGAAAAGAATGTTTGACTCTAATTGATTTCTTAAGGAAACGGTTTTTGTTCGCCAACTAATGAGAATGAATGATCGCAACAGAATACCTGAGCCGAGTTGCCACCACCGATTTTTATACAAGCTAAATACGGATTTTTTTGCCAATGTAGCCGCGGCCACACTTTTATATGTGTGTGAGTATGTGCCTGTGCGTCGGTGCTAAGGAGCATTCAATGAAACAAATATATAAACACGATTCCTTTATTTAAACATCATTACTCATGGTGTTTATTGATACTTTACTCGTGAATCGCTTACATTAAGCGTCAACATATCATCGCATTATTTCGTTTCGTTTTGGGTTCAAAGGCATCACAGGCATTGACAGCATCATTCATGGACCAATGCCGTGAACTGCGAAGGATATTTGAATTTACTCACCTTACTTGATTTATGGTGAAAATGTCCATTGAATAAACAAGCTCACCATAAATCAGCGATGTATGTTTGGAATGTTTGAAATGTTGTTCATCAAACAACTGGACTTTTCACTTAACACGAAGATTTCCTGGGGAAGAGGAAAAGTTGAATGGATAAACAGTTTTTGGTCGATGAAAAATCTTGAATTTTGATCGATTGAATATCAACAGTAAATCATCATGAATGAATGAAAAAAGCATTTTCTATGCATTTTCTTGGAAAAAACAGGAAATTTAACAACAAATTGGCGCGCTAAATTCCAAATAGATGAATCTATATCAATGAAAAACAATATTGATCCACACAAACACACTAAAAAAATATGAAAATGCGATCAATGCGCAATTTGGATGTTTTGTTTGAAAAAAATCACAAACAGTTTATTTTCGTCGCACACACACACACATAACGAATATTTTTCCATTATTTTCCTTCGTTGCTATTTTTACAGCGGCCATTCATTTAGTACGTTCATTCGCGCACCTCGACAAAAACCAAGTTCATTTCACGCCATCAATGACTGTGTCAAAAATTGCTCTGCGCTAGTATCTTTGTCTATAACGTCGCAATTTTCATTGGTGTCAACTGTATCTTTTCAGAAATAACAAGACTCTCTTTTTTTGTTCGATGACTCTTTTTTTTTTTTGAATTTCAAGTGTGTTTTGTTACGAATGCGAAAAAAATAGATGCGTAAAAATAGCGAATGATTCAAAACGCTCAAAATAAATATTAATTCAGACGTTCCACCACCAACGACTTCCCATATTTCAGTTCAATGGTCGTAAAAACATGCGATTTTCACAAACTTTCTTTCGATAATGTTCGACGGCATCATCTTTCGAAATAAACAGCAATATAAACATATCACATCGGCCAATTTCACCTGTGTATTTCAATGCCAAAGAATGACAATGTTATTGATGATGATGACGAATAAACTAATTAAAATCCAATTGAAAACATTCATTTTATTTTCACAGCTACAATTCACTTGGCTCATTAAATAAGATTAAAGTTAAGTGCAGTCATTCAAGTACAAAGTCAACGTTAAAAAAAGAGAGAAAGAACAACCGCCGTTTGTATACAATATATTCCAATATCGCTCGTTAAATTATTAACATTAATAATATTTATATAAATTACTAGGTTTTCATAACTTATATCTGTATTTATGAATTAATTTTCCACTATCGATACATGAAATGAATAAATAAAATACATAGTATTTAAATAAATTTCAACACGCATAACATAATAAATGCAGCATAGCACATAGGTATATACATAGACATCATATTTTAACATGTTTTATGTTTAATTATATCGAACACGTTTTTTTCAATATTTTTGTTTTTTTGAGTAGATGAAATGTGCTGCCATCAATCTAGATAAAAAAAAACGTTTATTTTCTCGTTAATTAGATGGTACTCATAGTGATCCATTTCCAATGTATGATACGTGCGTAAGTACTTCACACTGATGATTCTGTGTGCTTGGTGGAAAACCCGTTTTCCGACATTTTTAATGCAAACTTTGCGTCAGAAATTCCATGCACTACAAGAGTGAGAGAGAACGCGAGAGAAAATTCCATTCAAACAATCCATCTCCGAAGTATTCAGAAAAAAAAGAAACAAAAAAAATGTTCTACGTAATTTTTTTCATTTGGAATTCTAATGGCAAGCCGAGCACAGTAACTTTGTGTAGAAAAATGGTTGACGCGATGTATAAAGATGTGTACGAGAAAAAATTCAAAGAATTCCATTTCGCATTCGTTTACACATTTAACTATCTCTCCTACTCGGAGCACAGAAGCACAGAAACAAATGCGTAGCATTCCACATTCCGCTTATCACAGAAATTTCGTTGTCGAACTGCACGCATACACACAGACTGTGTGACAAAATTCGTTGCTTTCGATTCGGTTTTTCTTATTGTAAATAAAACTGAACGAATATGCTTGCCTAAAAGAGGTATTTTCATTTGAAAAAAATGTTTTCCTTTTATCATCGCAAAAGAGAGAGAGTGAAATATTTCTACAAGAAATATTTCGTTTCATTCCAATAACGAAACAGAAATAAAAACCTAATAAGAAAATGAATAAAATATAAATATTGATTTTATTTTTATCGTGGGCTTTTGTGCTTTGAGCTTCTGAACGGAGAAGAGTGAGTGGCATACAAACGAGAGAAACTTGCTGCTGCATCGACAACGGCATGTGTCTATCTGTAAAAGTTCAATAACATTCGGCTGTGTGGAGCAATAGAATATGATGAACGAAGTGGAAAAGGTAAATCGATCAGCGTTATTTCGGTTGAATATTCTGTGTGCCTGGTACAAAACGAACGAGTCGATGGCTCTTCGAATCATTTCCTATAAAATCGATTATTGCCAATCGGTATTGGATATTGAAAAGCGAGTATAATTCAAATCATGGAAAATGGCACACAAAAAAAATTGAAATTGAACGAATTTCGAGAAAACCGAACCGAAGAAGAAACAAAATTGGTATCCAATAAAAGCGATTCGGTTTGGAGTCGAAATCTGTGTGGAGAAAAACAGAAGAGGCAATATAGTATCAATATGGAAAATGTGTGTGTAGCATCGAAGAGATAAAGGGACGGCATTGAAATTCATTTGAGCAGGCGCAAACAGAAAAGTAAATAAAGTACAAACGATTTCAACGATAGCAACGATTTGCGCTTTAAAGTATTTTGTATGTGGCATAATGCATCGAAAGTACTTAGTCGTACGAATGAAATGAACAGATTGAACGAATACCATTGGATTCTGAATGCCTCATACATAGACAACGATTTCTAGTCTAAAATACACACTTGACATTGCGACGAGTTAACACTGAACGAAAACATGACGCCGCCATTCACGAATCGTTTTTCGTCTTAAACGATCCCATAATCTCTCTTCAACTTTTTCTGTCACAAAAATATATACGGGAAACTACTACTTTTTTTAAAAGTTAAGCAAATGTGGGGAAGTTGTACCAGCGTAACTAACAGGCTAACATCAACAACGAACATCAAAAAAAAAATCACACTCACACACACTTTTTATTCTCGGAACACTAGTTCAATCAAAGAATCTGTTTTAATGCTCCTGTTTTTCCATTGTTCGTTTTATACAGCGCATAACGGAAAATGGTTGATGCTTAAATTTCGGCCATTTGCTCAAGCAGCTCAATTGCACTGGAATCGCATAAAAATGTAAAACATTTGCTCATTTGAACAAATGATGAGGAGGCCACAATTCAAATGAAAAAAAATTTCTGCCACATTTAAATGTCACTTTTGTTGTTGTTTCTTTCTTATTGAATTTTATCAAATGTAAATATATATGGAGTGTTGAAAAACAATTTCAATACACTTTGAAATTATGGGCGCCTGGTTGTTATTCAAGAAATTGACCTGCACAACTTAGCTACGATAAAAAATTTATTTCAAATAAAAATCCCCCAGTATGAAATTCTCTCTCTCTCTCTCTCTCTCTCTCTCTTTTTCTGTCTTGCTTTCGTATGGGCTAATACAAATAATGATTTAAAATGGAAACACCGTGAATCGGAACATTAGCAGCAGTAGACCCCATCTCAATGATCCCTGCTTGAATTGTCATCTCCGAACTTGTATTTCCTACTGACAGTTCCATCTATTGATAATCGAAAGGAGTGCGTCATCTAGCAACTGCTCGGAAAATCGGACGATATGATATAATAGGACATCATGCAAGCTGCTAGAAATTAATGTTATACACTATTTTCAGTTGTGTTGAATTCAACTGCTGCACATCGACTATGTTATCTCCTCTCGTTTCACAATCAGATTTGTTTTTGTGTGTGCTATTCGTTCGTGCGCAAAAACAACAACAGTATGAAAATGTTTTCCCAATTTGAAAGCAAGAGATACATTGGAGACCATTCCTATTTAAGCCTCAATAGTCGTGTGTTTTTGCCGAAATGAATGATGGCGAGTGAAATTTTCGGGAAGAGAAAATTTGCTGATGATGTCTTCAATAAAATGGAGCACTGATTTGTTCGTTTCTTTCTAATTTTCAACAGGTTCACAGAAATGATCGGCACATCTATTCACCAGAGAAGATCTATTCAGAAAATGACCGAGAGAATGAATGAACGAAATATAGATATATTTTTTACACACAAACAATGTGGAAAAATGCACGTAGAATATTATTATTATTCAGAAGCGAATTCATTGGAATACCATCACAATCTTCCGCCACCAACAACAAGCTACTGAATTTTAGTCTTGTATTTTATTTTTCCTCTTGTTGTGATTGTATGTAGTTGATTTGATGAGCACACGAATAAGAATCACAATCGCATACTGTTCCGACATCATAGCAAATGATTAGCGGTGTGTTACGCGGCTTGCATGAGAACGGAGAGCGTTACCATATTTATCAATATTGTCTACCGCATACGAATGCCACTCACTTGAATTGGATACGTAGCCATTCGGTTGCTTGGATTTGTATTGTTCGTCTGTACACTGTACATGCTTCATAGATGCCATCCATGCACATAGACATAAACGAATAGTATATGATTCGTCGCAATACACACATGCATCTAGTAACAGAGCGAACGTTTTTGCTTGTGTATTACGTTCATTCGTATACATTGCGTACATGCTCGATGACGAGCAAGCTTTTATACAACAGCAATGCCATGCAGTTGAAATAGTCTCCAAAAATTCATGCGAGCCTGTGAAGCCTGAACTGGTTGAAGATCATTTGTTCGTCACGACATTCACAATGTGTACTTCAATAATTTATTTTGACCCCACTCATTGCTTTCTCATTTATCATCAAGGCAACCAGCTCCTCATATTCACATATTATTTGTATGACCGTACCGGGTGTTTCGAAAATATTCAGTCAAATAATTTTGTATGGTTGATGAGAAAATTTATTGTTTTCATTGAAATTCCATAAAATTTTAATTTTTTTAAACAAGAAAATCAATTCAATTGTTAAAATTGAAAATTATTGCATTTTGATAATGTGGTCGTGAAAATCACCCTGTGAAAAGCTTAAGAGTCTGTTTTCTGTGTGAATAGCATTGATACAACTGTGCTTATAACATAGGCACCGCTGTGAAGTCAAACGAATCGAAGCAATTTTCTCACTCTTATTGTGACTGGGTCGAATGCGTTTGCGAAACATTTATTTGGGTGTTGTTGTCGTCATCGTCATCGTCGTCGTTCGTTGGCTTTTTTTTATATTCTCTCGTTTGGCGGCGGTACTGAATTGCTGTAATGGATGATTGAGTGTGTAGCGACAACATGTCCCCATACATTCCCCATACACATGCCGTTCGTATGAACTGTTGTACACACCGACGCATCATGGCCACAGCAATTCAAAGTGAACCAAATGTGAAACATTGATACATTGTATTTCGTTGAATACGTGTCTATCTGTTTCGGTGTGTGTATATTTTGCATTGTATTTTAATAAAATTATGACTGCCTGGTAAAACTGAGCGAATTGAAGACACTCGCACACGCGCTCACCAGTCTTAGTGCGGATCCAAAATGTCTCTTTCTAATAAATAAGAATAATTGTGTTTGCATACGATTTACAATTTGCAAGAAGATGCAAATTTCCTTATTACAATTGAAAAATGATACGTTACCATTCTTGTAGGCAACATCTCGCAAGAAAATGACACCATGGTAGACATAAAATCAATCGATCAACAGATATATACATATAAGTATCGTCATATGACAGATAGACAGACAGAGAGAGAGAAAGAGAAGGAGGGAGAGTGGCAATTGTTTAAAATGTATTGAAATAACCGTGTGCTTATACTGAATGTGTGTCAATGATAAAGTATTCATTCGCATTGCAATAATGTTGCAATATGATGAGCAGCATACATTGCATACTATGCAATGCATTTCACAGTCGAACCACACATCTCATTTATTTTCATTTTCACTTATTGTATATGGATTCGATACCATATTCCATATCCCCATATTACGTGGATTATCGAATTTAAGCAAATTGTTTGTTTTTGTCACATTATTCATTTATATATGCATACACGGCTTTTGGGCGGCGAACAGGTTACTGACGAGCTGATTCCCAAGTTTTTTTTTGCTGCACGTTCAATATTCATATATAGATGAAAAAAATAACGATATATTGCAATTTTTATTGTTCGTAGCAGCCATTTGTAATGAGTAAATTTGAGCAAAAAACATGTGAATTATTCGACTCCCCCGTTATTGGCACTCCATTGAAAAATGGATATCATTGAATGAATTTACCAATCATTTTACCAATCGGTCACATGTATTCGAAGAAATGGAGAGAGAACATATATTATAAATTTACACAAGAGAAGGTTTTATCATCTGTGATTTTTTTTTTGTTTAATCTTTCAAAAAAAAACAGAGTTTTACTCCAAATTGTATTATACATCTAAAGCTAAATCTGCTGCCTTGAATTCAGATTAAGAACAACAGGATGCGTTTATCATCTTGCAATTCTCTAGGTTAGAAAATTCAAAGGGGTCGGTCAATATGGGTCAATCAATCCAGGAGTATTTCCAATTTTAATAAATACGAACAACCGCAGGCTTAAAATGTTCACTACTTCTGGTATTCAACGCGGATGCGATATGATAAAAGTAATAAATGTTTAAAAAAAGAATCTGTTTTTTTAAATTGCATACATGTTTGATCATCCTCTGGTTATTATATGCGTTTTGTTATTCAGAACTGATTAGAAAATGATTTGCACTCAGTTTATTTTTGAAACTACTAGGATTTTTTATCATTGTTTTAGCCTTGACTCCATTGATGTATGCAGCGAATAACTTTAAATATATTTTTAATTGACTCGTTATATTAGATAGGACGTCAAAGAGTCAATATGTTTGTAAGGTAACGAAAAATATGTAAAGAAATATTTTTTTTAGTATTTTATTTTGATTTTTCTTTTTTTTTTTCAGTGTAAATTTGAGTGGTATTCTAATTCTATTTATTGTTTTACAAGTCGATAACATAAGATGTAAGTCGATAACGGTTGAGTGTGACAAAAATCAACAAAATTACTGTTCAATAGTCCCATCGTCAATTGATTTGCCCGTGGAAAATACATTTTATTTCATAAATCCCAACTACTACTTGCATGCGATGGAGACAATTTTGGAAATTCGACCGTACCAAACATCGAACATTGTATCAATCGATTCAATTTTTGACTATTTTCCAAAATTAGAACAGCTGATAATTTCAAACAGTTTGAATAAAATTCCATTCATGCGAGCCGCATCTCAAACGCTGCAATTGGTGAATTTTCGGCAAAATTTTATAAAAAATATCACAAAGTTTGCGTTCGATGGAGCGCCCAATTTAGAACGCATCGATTTATCCTCGAATTCGATTCGCTCCATTGAAAATCAAGCTTTCGCCAAACTTGATCGTTTGACATCAATTCGACTAGAGAATAACAAGCTCGGTTCACTACACTCGCATACATTTGTTGGGGCCAAATCCTTGGTGTACATAAATTTAAGAAACAATTATATTACGACCATTGCAAATGGATGTTTTGCATTAAAATATTTGAATGAATTGATATTGGCCGAAAATCGTTTAGACATTATACCCGATACGATTTTTAATGGTGCTGAAAATTTGAAGAAGATTTCATTTGCTCACAATAAAATCAAAGTTATCGATGTGATTGCGGTTGCACAGTCTGCGCCAATTGAAATGCTCAATTTTGAAGATAATGAACTGGCATGGTTTGAAAAACAATCGATAAATTGCACCGAAACTCCAAATAATCAATTGAAAAATCTGAATTTGGCAAAAAATAAATTGAAAAGCGGCAATATTTTGGATCGATTGAAGTGTTTGCAACGCATCGAAATGCTAAATTTGAACTCAAATGATTTTACGACATTCGAAAATATCAGCGATTTAAGAATTTATTTTCCACATCTTTCGGTTATTTATTTAATTAACAATAAGATTCAATGTGATTGGCTAAAGAATACAGCATTCGATACTTCACTAATTTATACGAGATCTAATCGACGAAAATTAACTGTCCATAATATTGAATGTCTTTAAGCAATGTATAGTCGTTTTCAATAAGATCTGTTACAGCGAACTGTCAAAATTTTGAACAAACAACATACCCTCAACAAAATTCAAACCAAATTGACACGTTTAACTAAGGAGCCTTGTGTACTTTTGAATGGAAATGCGTTCCGAAATGCATTGTATTATTTTGACAACACAGATCTTTTTGGAAACGACTATACAAGTACATTTTTGAAATAAACAACTTAAACATAATTTTTTAAATTTAGTTTTTATAACTAGTATTTATCTCTGACGGTTCGTCAGTAGAGTGAAAATGAATTTTATCCACCAATATTATAATTATAATGAGCTCGAATCATGTGATCGTTGAAGTGTTCTTGCGAGTAAAGTGTTTGAAAACATGTTAAACATGGAGATGTCGGCGAAACTCCGTTGAGATTAATCAGTTTCGGCGGTCGATGGTATTCCGATGTAGTTTTAGTGTTATTGTATGCTGGGTTGGGTTGTTGAGATTGCATTGAACCTGTGATGGCATCGAGTTCATTCTCCTCCACCAACTCAATTTCATTGAAGAAGTTTTCCTTTTGATCAACGTGATGTATTAAATCTTTAATGAGCTCGGTAATTAGTTCGTCGCTCAATAAATCCAATTTCGATGCAATCGGATTCGGTCGTTTAACAAATCGAAATGAAGTCGTTGCAAAAAAATGCATTTGGCGAATGTGTTTTCGGCTGATAATGTGGCGTTGAAAATTTTTCTCCGTCAAGAAACGTTGCTTACAAATCGAACAAAAGTACGAATGACGTTCATACACTGTGTGTAATGGATTTGAATACATTCTTTTACGAATTGTAACTTTTTTTCGAAGTAAAATTCAACCGTACTCGATCACCACAAAATCGACACTGATTTTCCAGAACTAAAATCAGCCGCATTTTATTATTTTATTTTTCATATCAATTTTGTTGAAAACCAATAGATTTCGATAAAATCATGTATAAACAGACCACTTCTAGACAACCAGCGGTTAACCAAAAAATTATCTCAACAATAACAAATGCGAGAAAAAAATGTGTCGCACATTTTAATGTTGTTACTATGTCGACTATGCTTTTCTCACACTCACTCTCGATTGATAAGAGGACCAGAGCATATGACGACAAAAAATAAGATAATTATAAACATTATCACACATTACAGCTACTGAATAAAATATCATCCAAACAACCATTTCCAGCGCAAAATTATCCATTGTCATGATATTGTAATTATTTTTTCAGATTTTCGATTCAAAATCACTCGAAAAAATTGAACTTTCATTATAGAAAGATTATGCAGATTTTGACAACTAATCCAGCAGAAGAATGTAGATAATGTTTAATTGTGTGAGGTTGAGAGTTATCAAAAGATTGGCACTGACATCAAAGATGCTATAATTAAATGTTCCATGTACCCTCATTATCTTGACAATTTGCCACAATAGAGAGAGAGAGATAGAGAGCGTTTCATTGTAAAACTAAAAACAAAACATGCAAAGTCGCACAATTGTAATGAAACGGTGCTCACATCGTAAATGAGAAATAACCACTTGGCCACGACAAACAAAACGGATGTTGCGGTAAATTTAACCTGTAAAGTGTATTTTTTTTTTGGACAGACAGACATCAAGTGTTTTTGTTGATGACGTGTTCTTACCTTTTTTCCTCTGTAATTAAGAGTTTTTTTTATACTAGACAGTTCCATTCTAAGTAACATTTCAAATATCCATTTAAAAACTACACCCCTTTCTAATTTCATGTAACCGCAGACACAATGGAAACTCTTTTATTGAACTGCCAATCATTTTTCTATTTTCGAGTACATATTATTGAATCGTGTTTGTTTTCACTTTCAATCAACTTTGTTCTCGAACACACATGCGACCGCTTCAAGGAGTGTTTACATTAATTAAAACCACATTCAAAATAATTATTAAAAACAATAATAATACGTCATTCAGATAATAAAAGGCTTCATATTAACAAACTATACTGTCTACTGGGTGCTTAACGTGTATCGAACTGTGTCGATTTGAAGAGGAAAATTTGTGAAAAAATTATATGATTTCACATAAATTTTCGACCCAAAATTGTCACAAAGAGAATCCATGTGTAAGTCTGATTGTCAGTAGAATGTGTTGGGGTTGCCATTCGCCGAATAAAAATCTTTTGAATTTCACTTCGGTTCAGTTGAAATTTCCATTGCTTATATGTGTTTTCTGTTCAATTAAAAAAAAAAAAAGAAAATATGTAGCAGACAAAAAAAACCGGAGGAGCAAAACATTTCGATGAAAAAATAAAATAAAAAGCAGCTCGTGACGAGATGAAAAAAGAGTAAATGTCACAAATGAGAAACATTACTGTTTTATGTTAGTAATAATGTATGGTATTGCACAAGTAACTTGAAAGGTTTTTGTTCAAGTCATAATTCAAAGGAGGGAATATTATCGTCGCGACATGAAATGAGCCTGACGTGTTGACGGCCCATTTTAAGACAAAACAAAGAACAAAACGGAAAGAATCAAAGCCGAATATAACACATGAATGGACGTCAATGTGCACCATACAATAATCATGAATATGAGAACATAAACCGTGCAATGGATCTATACTTATTGAGTTCCATTCCATGCCGGAGTTTTCACTTCAGAAGTCGAAGAGAAGACAGATAGATAGAGGAAGAAAAATGAAAATACATAAAGAACGGAAAACGAAGAGATCCATGTCACTTTTCAATGCAATGTGATTTGCTAAATTGCATCTATTCAACCGGCTCTATCCTCTTTTCGTCTTTTTTTCTCACTCTCCATTCAACTCAAATTACTACTGCTTTTACGTCGTCATTGTTTTTTCGCATTGTTGATTTTTTTTTTTCTCGTTAAATTTCTCTATCTCGAGGTGTGTTGATGGGCAAAGACGCGAGATATGTTTCATTTCAATGAAAAAAAAAAAATGCTCAGTATATATGCAAAACACTTTGATATTTTAACAGGATATACTTTTCACCAGTTTGGTTGAATTTTACATAGTTCACAGCATTTTTCATCATGTTTCGTGAATATCGATAGAATCAGTGGGTTTTGGAGTGAACGGAAATTCGTAGTTGAAATAGTGGTCTATTGCCGAATGTTTAAATCACTTTCAATGATGCTCTGATAATAATCAAAACGTTTCATGAGAATTGAATTTTAAACTCATATAAGTAATTAGATGAAATAACTCGCTAAAAACCAAATGAATCGTGCTGTGAACCGTCATTACATCTTCAAAGCGATAAAGACCACCGCAAATAGTTTTTAGATAAGGTTCATTTGATTTTCTTGAATAGTGCGAATCAACCTGAATATGTTAATTAAAAGCGGCAAAGTTTTAAATGGGTTCATTCGGTGGGCGCTGGTGAAGCACTTTTTGTATGGAAATATTTGTTGAAAATTCAACAATACGCCACCTATTAAAGACAATAAAGATTTTCGTTACTACTGCTGTCTTGACACAGCTCTAGCGAACTATATAGCTGTATTGCAAACGTATTAGTACTGACACCGATTCTGTGTATGCGTGTGTGTTGTAAATTTGTACAAGCAGCTACGGTTGACGACTGAGTGCAGAATTTGCAATACAAACGGACACACAAAATCAGAGTCAGTGTGTTCTTTAGTAACAAAAATCTTTATGTATTTTAATAGATGTCGTATTCGTTGAATCTTCAACAAAAAATCTTCGATACCAGCGCCCACCGGGTTCATTTTTCTTTCACAGCATGCAAAATGTGAATTTTAGCAATTACACTTTACACAACGAATGTTAATCCTTACTATATAGGTAAGACCAGTTGGAGACGAGATTTTAAAATTCAATTTTTTATATTACAATATTCTTCTCAATCACAGAATGAAGCACTAAAGGGTTAAACCATTTGGCTAATGTACTCCCCATGCATACATAACTTTGTATGAATATTTCAGTGATACATTTTGCCCTTTTGGTTTCGACAAACTTCTTACGACACAACCGTAGCGCATAATTTCACATTGACAATGTCAAAAATCGCTTTCATCATTGATGTTGTTAAAGTTGTAAAACACAAACGTACAAACACATTAACCAATAACCATCAAAATCCATATGGGATGCAAGCTGCGATGAAGAGTTGCAAAAGTGAGTTATTCAAAAAGAAAATTGTTTAATTGTTTAAAACATATGATATTTTATTCAGTTTTAGAACTTTTGCTTTGATATAATGTGCCACATTTTATTTCAGCGTTTTAATATTGTATATGGAAGACAAGATAACGTTAAAACGTTTTGTGCATGAAAATTAAATCAAATCAATTAGCGAATGCTGTCACTGTGTGCATATTAGCTGTTTTTTTGCGAAGAAAAATCGTTGATTTTTTTCTCTCTATTTTGTTTCTTTGAGCACTTGATTGAATTTATCGAAGAAAATATCAGCATGTTTCTCTTGGAAAATGAGAGCTGGTCGAAAACGAATGGCTTTATCACCGCAACCACCAGCTTGAACACCTACGGAAAACGGAATGAAAAAAAAAATTGATTAAAATCACACATTAGACATTTGTATTTGTAAATTCAACAAACCTTTGGCTTTCAAACGGTTAATAATGTCATCACGAAGCTCTGATGTTGGACAATTGATGGCCAAAAATGTACCACGGCCACGTGCTGAATTGAGTAAAGCTGGAAAATCGTTTTGTGCTTGAAGCAAACCCTTTTTCAATTTATCACCCACTCGTGTCACATTCTCCAATAGAGCATCACGTTTGATAACATTCAAAATGGTTTCCAATAGCAACAATTTGCCTGGATCTCCCATCCATGTATTGAACACACGATATGCTTGTGGTGGTTTTAGATCGGCCGAATGATAATAGCCGCCCAATTGCATTTTTTTGCTGAACGTCACAATATCGGGCGATGAATCCAAATTGAAATGCTCATGAGCCCACAGTTTACCAGTCGGTCCACCACCCGTTTGTACTTCATCGATGAGCAATGCAACACCATGTTTCTTACCGATGCGTTGTAAACGTTGAAAGAATTCGGGTGACGCTTCATTGTCTCCGCCTTCACTTTGAATTGGCTCAACAATCATTCCGGCCACATATCTACCATTTTTATTGTATTTGACAATTAAATCTTCAACAGCCGCCAAACATCGATCATCTTCGGCCGCATTTTCACGTACATTCTCTTCCAATGGGTATTTGTATTGCGGAAATGGCGCAATTGGCCAATCAAATGATGGAATGTCAATTTTATGAATATACTTGGAATGTGTTGTGGCCAATGCGCCAATCGTTCGACCATGGAATGCACCTTTAAATGATAATATACATAGATCGGGTGAGCCCGGTGCCGAGTTTATCATACACGATTCCCGTTCGGCATCGGTGAATGATACATTTTCACCGCGTTGAGTTTTTCGACACCTAATTTGATTGAATTTAGTTTTGACATGGTTTAAGTACAAATAGGAAGAAAAAAAATTCTTGCCACTCACCAAATGAACATATTTTTCATAGCATTTTCATTTGAGCATGAGCCACACATCATCGTTGTAATATTAGGTAAACCTTTGGGCGCTACCGACATTAGAACCGATTGCAAACGATTTGGCCAATCTTCACCGGGAAATACACCGAGAGCTGGACGATTTACCAATGCTAAAATGAACATGAAACATTTGCAATTTTATCGTAAAATTGATATAATTTTTCATCGTTTTTTTTTGCATACTCTTCAAATTATGTTCATTATTGAAAACATTGAGCAATTCAGGATGATTATAGCCAAGTGGAACCGATGAAATTTGTGTATAAATATCAAGCAATACATTTCCATCAACGTCGACCAAGTAATTTCCTTGCGATTTATCGTAATCAGCGAACAATTGAACCGATCCAGCATTCTGAAAGGATTGAAATAGAGAAAAAACCATTTAAAATGTCATTCAAATAGAGAAAAAAAACATAAACATAAAATGTCATTTCAAATTATGTGCAATTGTTGACGACGATGCAAATGAATGCAATCAACATTCTAGCGCTGTATATTCAACCATTTATAAATGATTCCAATTCCAGTTTGAATTGATTAAATTGATGTTAATTGAGAGAACATCGAATGGAATGGAATATCATTGGGCGCTGCACAGACGTCATGAATGTTATGTGTGTTGTTGTACTCGAATTCTCTCTCATACACACACACAGTACGTACTTATCAAAATATAGCAACAATAGTTCAAAACATCTGATTTGGCGACTTTGCGTAATATACTTGGCTTCAAGATGAAGTGATAATGTTTTTTTTTTGTATTTTTTACACAAAAATGTTTGATGAATGGAAATTATTTACAAGCGTTATCAGTGATGTGTAGGTTTTATTGTGTCATTTCAATTGCGCATGTGTACGTCACATTCGTTCTACAAACTGTTGACAATGTGCCAAATAATTTTTTTTTTCGGTCGGTCTTATTCCAATAAATTTCTATTTTTCCTCTGTTTTTCAATAATGTCAAACGAAAAGATTGACCGCGACGTAATCGTGATAAAAAATTCACAACGAAAATACTTGCTTGCAATGTATTCAGCTTGCTTATCAATGCTTTTGATTTTGGTCCTGGAATTGCTGTTTTCACATTTGGCCCATCATATGGTTCCGATAATGCTGTTCCGTAACATCGATGCACTGAAAACAAATAACATTTTTTTTTCTCTTACATTGTCACAGCGAACTGTTCATTTCGCTTTCAATGGCATTGACACCAAAAACCGAAATCAATATAAAAACTCACAAATTCTTGGCGGCAAACGGTTAATTGTGCGAAAGAGTTGTGCGTTCATTTTCTTTCAACAGCTATTCGGATTTTAAAATGATAATCACTATCTGGATGTGTATATCGGGTGCAACAATTGCAAAAAATATTGATAATATTACTTAACACCAAAGCCTCCAAACAATCACTGAATAGTGCCTGAATTCTGCGGATGGATTTTATTGAAATGACGTTTGATGCTGATTTTGCTGTTTCTCTTCTTTTTTTCTTTCTCTCGCACACTCGGTCGGTCGGTCGTTTGTTTGATTATTTTCTTGAATTCACAGCGTAAACGGCTTGAATGCTTGTGCCTGATATTATCTAAATATGCTTTAATTTAAGCAGCGTTGCTTACACGCTGTGCGCTCAAAAAATATTGGTATTGGTTATGTTGTGCGATAATAGGGCAAGACAATAAAATTAATCGAAACTTCGAATCAAATGCACTGAAAATAAAAAAAATAAATAGTTTCGGAACTGAACGCGACGATATCACGGCAATCGTTATGAAGTGCGAACAAAAGAGAAAGAGATAGGAGACACACGAAAATGGATGATGACACCAAGAGAATTTACATTGAATGTGCGAACGAGAGAAACAAAGATATGAAAATAATTCGGTATGTTTTGCTGCTCATGCGCACTGTCACAGCCTAAATGGATATGTTTTACCGTTCTGTTATGTGAACGAGACGGAAATATATTCTAACTACTACTTGGTTCTCTGTCACGATACATTTTTCAATGCAAACCATTTTAATAGGTAATAATCAATGGTGATTTGTGAACATTTTATTTATGACCACAACACGTTTTGTGTACGCTCTCAACTTTTGAATTCGATTGTTCATTAAGATAGAGTCGTGTTTCTTATCGACTTATGTGCGTTTTGTTTTTCGTAGTTTTGCAACGATGCGACAATAACAAAACCATCACTTCACGTTCAACACACCCGCACGCGAGCATCATTAAAATAACCAGAAATGTAAAAATACCCAGCCTGTTGCTGCGGAATTGCGCATTTTTTTATCTTTCTTCGTATAGAAAGCACTCTTGTTTATGCGATAATACATTTTGATAAAAAAAAACGCTCTTCCATTATATAAAAACCAAACGAGAAAGAGATAGAAGTGTTTTTTTTTAAATGGATAAGAATCGTTCAAGTGCTTATGCCCCCATACCGATAAGAAAATGTCACAAATTACCGCGATAACGAAATCGACGTACTCACAAATTAAATTGTAACATTGTTTTGTCGCGGTCACAAACGAACAAAAAGTATATGTTCACATGAAAAATATCAATCGGAACCTCACAACATGTGAATGAGGAGCATGCGTGTATTTGAAAAAAGTGTTGTATACAAAACGAAAACATTTCATGCACGTGGCGTTCCAACCACAATCTCTAACGACGATTCAATTAATTACGACTTTTTTACTCATTTACTCGAAATTTATACATACACATAATCAAGACAATGCACGCCAGAACACGTTCAATGAATGGCGGCATGCGACCACGAATTATTGTATCAGGTCGAGAAATGAAATGTTGTTAATCTTAACGTGCACATGCAGTTCTTATCACAAAGCAAGCCGTTTGTTGTTGTGACACACTGCAGGCATAAAATATATACATACGTATATTGATGTACAGATAAAATTGTGTGAACACAATAACATATCAATTAGACATTCAATTATAAATATGGTAATAGTCGTTTATTCAGTGATATCTCCCAGTCAGAAATTTACATTTTTATTGGACGCCGGTTTGCCATTTGTTTTATTCATTTTTTTCCTTCTGCATTTCAGTGCATTCCGAATGAATATTTTATTTTCATTTTTTTTTTAAATAGAATACCATATCGGACATTTGTTCTGACTAATGACGGCGTTTTGCTTTTAAAATTGAACATTTACTCTTCCAATTGTACATTTTGAAAGCCAGAAAGTATAAATTAAGCAGAAAAAAAATTATTCGATTAGAAAACATTCATGAAGGAAATGTCATACAAGGTTCCAGTTTATTTCAAATGGAAATGCATGAAAGTGAACAAAAGATAAAATGCAAAGTTATAATTTTGTTCGGAAAAGTATGGTTATTTATAAATCATTTCGGAAATGGAACGTTTATAAGTATATATGTATTATTTAAAATGGACACTTTGTGGATAAACACTTCATTGGATTATTGTGTGTCATTTAAAATTGATGATGAGCCGCCATTCGTGGACGGACACAGTTCAAATCACAAAATAAATTGACATATAAAATGTATATCATTTTCTCTCTCTCCATCGATCCACTTCGAACATGAATTCAAAGCGAAGACAATGACAACTTAATGTTACACACTAATTTATCCGTCATTCCTGAGCTATGATTGAGTCGTGTTTCTTATCAACTTATGAGCATTTTGCTTTTCGAATTTTTGCGTCGTTGACAATAAAAAAAGAGAGGAAAAACCCGCACGCGAGCATCATTAAAATAACCAGAAATGTCAAAATACTCCAAAATATCCAGCCTGTTGGAATTGCGTGTTAATTTAGCTTGCACTCTTGCAAATATGCAATCCATTGTAGTATTTCAAATTTTCCAGCGTTCTTTTATTTTTTTTTAATAACTCGTAGTGTATATAAACCAATGCTGTATGCGTTTTTTTATATTTAATTATTTTCCCTACACTGTGGGCCCAGTCGGACTAAATTGTATATCAAACACTAAAAATGCTCTAATTTGAATAACAAATTTCGTTTTTTTTGCTCTTCACTTTTTTGGCGAAAATCCTTAGCAAATTGAAAGAATTTTTCTTGCGCCAAAAATAGCCCTAGCAAATTCGAATAATTTCGGCGGAATTTTTTTTTCCGTCAATATCACAGGGGGCTAAAGGTAAATTTTCATGAGGAATCCGAATATGGGTCAATTTTGGGGTGGGGGGTATTTTGGATCTTATTTTGGTAATTTTCTTCTTTCGGACCTATGCCCTCCAAAATGTGGTCTAAAATTCCCCGACCCCAAAATTGACCCCATAGTCGGATTCCTCGTGAAAAATTATTTTGTACCCCAAGACTGTTCTGTACCTTAAAATGTTCGTCTCATTAAGGGCTACCACTTTGCCAAAGATGGCAATCAAATAATTTGTGTCGTTTACGAGATATAGTGATGCTATGAAACCAACAAAAGGGGGTATTTTAGACTTCAACGGGCCGTATCTAGACCCCATATTAATTTGGGGAATTTTTTTT